AAAAAGAAGAACATGGCCCCACCAAGGTTTTTGCTGCCCCCCTCACCAAGAATCCTGACTACGCTTCTGGACATTTTGGAGAGAAGTGATGTTTTGATAAAGAGCAAATTACTCAGTCTGAGTTGGGTGATCTGTTGATCTTGTTCCGATTTGCGTCTTAATGCTGTTGGATGACATATTTAAATTTACTTGAGTGAAAACGGACAGTGTGTTGCGGAAAAAACAGTATGTAACCAGTCACTGAAAAACTCTGATAGGGAGTGTGCTGTGCATTATCTGTATCTGTAAAAGCTGTTAATGCTAATTAGATAAGACGGGAACTCCCTTTCTCTTGGTATGTGCGCGTTGTATGCGCAAGTTATTAGGGAGTTTAAGCTTCACATTTGCGGGAACAGCAAGACCGACTTTTCTTGGCATAATGTTCGTTCGATTTCTGTGTGTCATATTTTCTTCCATATGGCACAAGAATAGTTAAGCATTCTAGTTATAAAACAACAAGCCCATTTACTTTTTATTGCTTTATAGCGTAAATTTTTTCTTTGCCTGACGTTTGTCATTGAATGCGAAGCTTAAGCTCTCTAATATAATTAGATTGCAAACGTCATGCAATGCTGTTGCATAATATTGAATACCTCCTACAACCTACTAAGCTGTTTCCTTCTTTGTTTTTTGATGAACCGAGAATTTTTTATGGCACAAATATATTGGATTGGCGAAAAGGCGTTCGTGATAAAGAAGTGCATGATCAACAACATAACACGACTGTTTGAACACGAAATTGGTTGATACAAAAACCGAGTGCGTAATGAAGTTCCAGTCAGCTTAGAGTTAACCTCGGTTCTTTCTCATTAATGGACTAGATGCAAAGGAAATAATAATAAACAACGACCCTGGACTAATAAAATTGACAGGAAAAGATCTAGAAAATAAATAAGATTGTGAACACCAAGTAAAACTCATATTTAGCAACAACCCCCCCTCCCCCTATTCCCCACACCTTTCTCCTGTAACCAATTAATTAATGTATAAAATCGTGAAGCATGAAAGTATTGTATTTGAAAGATAATTATGATATTTTACTGATATTTACAGTACCCGATGTTGCATATTTAAAGAGAATCAAACATGAAAACAGACTCTTTGTATATATTAGAATTACATCTCCCTCCCCCTATTAAAATGGTAGAGAAATTGCGGTATGCGTGGTCTAGAATGTTTAGGATTGTGATAATATTTAAAGCCTGAAAAACAGATTCGCTTGCAAACGTCATGCAATTGCTGTAGTATAAAATAACATCATATTTTGAATACGTTGTTATTGTAATGTTGACTTGGAAGTGTTCCTGGCCAGGGCTTGACACGGTAATTTGCTCAGAATGTTTGGAAAAAACATTAAAATGCACAAAACATAAAAATATCATATATTTTTAAAACACTCCGATGTCATCTTGTTTCAGTTCAGCCCTTCTTTCGCACATTTCACAACTTTTTCTTGTCCAGGTTTCTCCAGTTCTGGATTGAGATCAGTTTTTGTTATCTGCGTGCGCATTAAGTGTTTTGTGGTCAAGCACATGTGTATTTGCAACACAACAATGGCGGGTCATGGATTTTGAAATACGACCAAGCATGAATTTTGGAGACGTTGTACTTAAATTTGTGCAACTATTTCGCTTGGGGGGAAGTGGATTCTAACTAAGTAAGTTCTAATCTATCCATTCATGTAAAAATTATGTAGTTACACGAGGGGTGCTACGGAATCTGTTTTCTAAGCATATTTTCGACCCTCATCTCACGGCCTACTATTGAAATATCCTAGCAGGTTAGGTTCATCAGATTTTAGCTTTGTCAACCTGGCCACTCTGTTATTACAGTAATGGCTCATTTAAATAATTTCAGGTCATTTAATACTGTAAATGTAAATACAAAGTATTTGAAGTTTAATAATACTGCTGTAAAATGTAGTTTAATAATATTGTATTAAAGTGTAAACACGTTTCTCAAGTCTGGCCATGTGTTTCTCAATATTCACAATATTTAACTACAATAATACAAATTCAACTATATTTAATAACATACTGTATAAAATATATTACAGTAAATAGGCTTCGAAATATATATTTCATAGAGCTAGACAGTGTATAAACAAATAATGGGAATCTGCTAAATAATTTGTAACAATGAAATACATTTTCAAATTCATATATACTGTACCTTTTTATACTTGATGGAAATCATCACAAATAGTATGTACGAGATTGGCTCCATTTTCACTGCTTCGAAATTCGAAACATCGCCTCCTCGGCGATTTACATGATGCGATATAAAAGAAGATTGATGTACATTCGACGTAATATATAAACGTAACATATTAAGAAGAAAGATTACAACAAAAAATAAAAGAATATAAATAATCCGCGGCAATTCAAGATCCATTCGTGAACTTTTCGTCGCCCCCCTGTCTTCATTTCCACAAAGCCCGCTCGCAGGCTAATACTCCAAGAATCTTGGAGTATTTGCCTGACACGTGACCAGCGTTTACCAGGGCTACGTCGCCGCCTTCAATTCGCGACTAGCCCTGGGTACGAGGTTGATTTTGACTATCGAGCCACCCAACAACATACTCATTGTAGTACAAGTTATTGTCTTAGAAAGAAGTCAAATGAAACAAAGTTGAAATGTAGATTTCATTTTCCTTTTGATATTTGTCATAAGACAAAATTAGAATTTGAAAAAATTCACACTTCAGGTACGTGATGAGCATTATCAAGCTAAAATTGTGACTAAACGAAATTACTCAAGGTTAAATAACCAACAACAACTTCAGCTCCAAGGATGGAGAGCTAACAGTGATATTCATATTGTTATTGATCACTATGCTTGTGTTGAATATCTCACAAAATATGCAGCTAATGGTGAGCCAAGATCACCTATACTGAATCAGGCATTCAATTCTATTGTACAAAATGTTGACAGTAATACTGACCCTTGTAGAGTTATTAAGAATGTAGTTATGAAGTCATTGAGATTATGAAGCTCAATGCATCATTTGTTGTCATTAAAAGTTAGTCTAAATGGTTCACATAGAGTGTGTGATACTGCAAGTATTGATGAGGGAGAATTGTGCACTGATTATTCACTTCTTGATGTGTATGGTAATTGTCGACAACATGAAAGTTCACAAAATATAATAAATATGAACTTTGTTGATTTTGCTACAACATACAAAGTTGTTAACCATGAACTGACAAAATTGCCAGAAAATATTATATACCATAAATATTCCAACATATTCTCCTAATCCAAAAGGTCCAAATTTTGGTCTATATTGTAAATATCACCTTTTGAGGTATAAACCCTGGAGAACAACCCAAAATAATGCATGGGACGACCAACAACCATCTGACAAGGTTCTGATCAATTGTTGGCGTGAATTTTTACAAACACCTTATGGCCAGTTTAATGTCCCAGACTGGTTTGATAAATTACAACCTGTCATTCAAAGTCAAAAAGCAGAAGATGAACTTTCTAAAGAACAGGAGACAACTTGTGAAGAGTGGATGATATTATCAGACCTCAACACTCCTTTTGACAACTCTGAACAAAACCAGATTCCACATATGACTGGCATCTCGACAGAGCCTATTATTCTGAACAACAAATCCAAGAAATGCCAACATTGATAAAAACAAACAAAGAGGAATACACTATTGATGAGTAATATGATGTTGACATCAACAGTTTTAGCGAAATGCAAAAACTTGTTTATGATATTAAGTCTGATTTTGATGATACATCATCTGAGAAAGAACCACTATGTCTCATTATAAATGGTGTTGAAGGAACTGGTAAAAGTTCCCATATTAATGCTATTAGAATTCGTTTGCAAAGTAAATGTGCTGTTACTGCTACCACAGGTAAATCAGCTTATAACATTAGTGGTATAACTGTGCATTCTCTATTAAAGTTACCTATGGGGTCAAGAGGTAATAAAGACCTGACAGAACAAAGCTTGTGTAAGTTACAAGAGTGTGTTAATATCATTGCATGGATACATCATTATCGATGAATACTTTTGGTTGGATAGACAAGTGTTGCAAACAAGCAACTGGTTCTAATGACAAAATATTTTGAGGAAAATCATTGATTTTAACTGGTGATCCAGGTCAATTCCCACAAGTACTAGATAAACCTCTTTACCATGCTAAACCATCAACTGCTGTTGGTGAACTTCAACTTTCAACTTCAACTTTTAATAATAATAATTATAAATTAAATATATGTACAGCTTGCCCTGCAAATAACTGTAGAGTTAATCGAGGCAGGGCAAGTGGGTAGTATTTTAAATATAAGATATAATAGAGTAATATATAATATAAAATAATAAAGAACAGACTGAGCTTAGGTCAGATTTGTAACAACTGTTTTGACTTAACATTAATGGGATTATTTTTATATTGTACAATATTTAGTGTGCATTACTGAAAGTAATAGCATAAATTACCCATGCAACAGTAGAAAATATGAAGTAGAGTAAATTAGCCTAGTCAAATATCTGTACTTAATATCTATACTTTTTAATTTTTTCAATTATCATGGGGATTTGAATGTAGTCATCTTCTCTTTCCAATATTTTAAATAAAGTTGTTGAATGGTCCTTTTAAATAAATTCTTAGATAGGTCACTGGGTATCTCATTCCATAATTTTACTCCAAGCCGTGAAAAAGAATACTTTTGTGTGTTTAGTCTAGAACTTTTTACATAAAACTTTTCTGAAGTATATGATCGTGTACTAAGTGAATAGTGGATGATTTCTCGAATAGGTTTAATATATTTTGAGGTGCTTTTCAATTATTTATATCATGCATTAAACTCGATATAGATTATAATAGAGAAAGGTCACCGGTAAAATATGAGCATCAAGAAATAGGGGGACTGCATGATCGCATCTATTTGCAAAAAACATCATACGAATTACCCTTTTCTGAAGAATTAAAATTTTATCGAGATGGGTTTTACGTGCTTGACCCCATGCAGCATACCATAAGTTAAGTATGGATAAATTAGAGACTGATAAATATTAATTGATATTGATCTGGGTAAAAAATGGTGCAGTTTTGCGATGAGTCCAACACGTTTACTAATTTTCGTCTCAATAACATCGATATGGTGTTTCCATGAGAGATTCTTATCAGCATACCTAGATGCCCGTAGGAAAATGAAAGGTCTAAATAGGTCTAGAAAAAGTCTTTGATAGGTCCACAAGATCTATTCTAGACCTTTGCTAGACAATTGCGGAAGTAAAATTGTCTTTGAAAAGTCTTGCAAGACTTTTACATCTCATTTGACTTTGAAAAGTCTAGAATTGTCTTCAGTAGAAGTCTTGAAAGGTCTTCCAATGTCTTCGTTAGATCTGGCAAACTATAAAAGTCTAGAAGTGTCTAATTATTTGGGTATAAGCTAGCTATAGCCTAATTGAAAGGTTATGCGATATGTCTTCGTTTAATTAATCGTTAGAACTGTTACCGACCTATAAATAACTTTGACGTTCTCAGTGACAACAATATATGACATATAGTCATGGTCCATAAAGGAAAGACTATGGAGGCCTGGCTATCTACAGACATAGTCCTAAAGTGATCACAAAAGGTTGATGATCGTGCAAGATTTTGCCCTGAATGGAATTTATGGAAATCCATCTTTGACTTCTTCTAAAATAATTAAATATGTATCCATGCACATACAGGGGCGGATCCAGCTCCTGAGCTGACTGATGCATACATAAGATCTCGCATATGTTGGGGGGTCCGGTGGTATCCTCCCCCGGGAAATTTTGAAATCTAGGACCTCGGAAATGCGATTTCCTGCGTTCTGAGTGGACTTTTTTGTTCCAATTCATATATCAGAGTCACAAAAATTTTGCTGCATTTTTGGAAAAACAAGTAAAAAACTTGAACATATATCGCAAAAACAACATAATTTCTCCATATAAGAAAAAAAAAATTGCTTGTCCAAGTGTAATAGCAGCAGTGGCAATAAGTCTCTACTAAAAAATAATCAGTACTATGCTTCTTGTAGGCTTAACTTTTCTATTGAAAAACATTTTGGCAGAAAATCACGACAACGCAAATACACACATACTGTGTAACAAAGGTGTATACAGTGTGCTCCACTAGTTGCATTGCTGGACTCAGAAGACAGTGTTATTATGTTGTTTATGAACCACCTTCCCCCATTAATTTCCAATGTTCCATGAGGAAAATCTTCTAGCATTAGAATTTGAAGTAAAATAAAATATGGTGCATAAAGGTATTTTGTGCTTCAGTGGTGGATCCAACAAAGTTTTTTTGTGGGGGTGCTAACCAATGGCAAAACGAGCGCCGAAGGCGCGAGATTTCTAGGGTGGTCCGGGAGCATACTCCCCAGGAAAATTTTTTAAATTTGGGGGTCTCTGAAATGGCATTTCCAGCATTCTGAGAAAACATTCTGGAAAATTTTTATATTCTCAACACATTTAAAAATTCAGAACATTTAATATTGGCTATTCTGCAATTGTCAACTAATGATACGCAACAATTCCTTAACATAAGTTGGTTAGAATTAGGATAAACATCATTTTTGCACCCCCCATGCACCCCTGTTGACCAGAACCTGGGGGAGGGTGCACCCCCCCCCCCCTAAATCCACCACTGTTGTGCTTTACTGGGTAAATATATGCAACTCTGTCTTATGCTGCTAATCTTACTCTCATGGACAGTGTTGTTGGCATCAGTTGGTCAATTTCACTTGCCCCTAGCTGCCTTTGATATGAACTACATGGTGAACAGCCCACACTCTGAATACTGAGAATATTGCCTTGTGGCGAGGAAACCAGTAAACTAACACACAACAAACACTGGGTTTAAAAATATTTAAATATATAACTAGGTACACACACAACCACATGTTTTAAATCAATAGAGACTGTGTGTAAACTGTAAATTAATTTAATGAAGCTATCTTAGTTGGAAATTGTTTGTTAAATAAACCAATACCAAACTGTACAATGATAAACATGACATAAATCATATGTCTTCTATCTGTCCTTTTTTGCATGACTTTCAACTAATATTAATACAGTACCTTTAAGAAAGGCTGCACAGTAGTATTGATGAATATTTAATTTTCCCTATGTTATTATATAAATGCACATCTTGTCAAATATATCCATACACTTATCAATGGTAATCGTAATCCTCAGGGTGGTATGCTGGCTATCCAAAACATAATACTGGGATAATTAGCATTACAAATATATAATTTAATTAAGTCTATTTTCCAAACTATCCCACTTTTGTGAGCAAATTTCATAATTATAACCTGTATACACCAGTTACAGTATATAACAGTATTTATACCGTCCATCATTTTATCATTGATTCTAAGATTAAAATCTGTCAGGAGAATGTCATATGACATCTACAGCTTATATCAAATTATAGTTGCACAGACAAAGCATATAAACACTCAACTATGGTAGGCGAGCAATCCCAGGTTATCATCTTTCTTTGCAAAATATCCAGCTAGTGTACAGTAATTGCCCAATAATTCAGGCAATGCAAAGTAAGACCCCCTGTCACAAGGCATGCCAGCTCATTTCCATATAAAATGAAAATGAAATGAAATAGGAGATACCACTGGAAGTTGCAACTTGAAACATTTACCTTTCATGTAAACTCCCCCTTAGTCTTCTACTGTAACCAATGTTGCATTACTATTAGAAATCTCATTAACCTGCAATTATGCTCTGTAATTACATACGGAGACTGATGCAAGTCTTGATCCATTCAGAGTTACTTTCCACCCACACTAGTTTTATTTTTGGTATCCAATCAAAATGTGCCAGAAGAAATGTCAATTTCACATAATAACAAGCTAAATATAGTTACAATCACTAAATATATCATAAAACAATTTTAATTATAGCATTAACCAATTATCAAAACAATACATTAAATATGGCATGAATACTCATGCTAGGAATAGCCAATCGGAGTTACAACCGTGAACCATAAAGGCAGTTGTAGGACTGTAGGACACAAACATTTATATCATGTGTATCAGGGCTTCATTTTTCTTTGCCCGCCAGCTGTGAGAAAAATGAAGGTCTGGGCACAGGATATAATCCCATGTAAACAGAGATGAAATTTGCCTCAGTAAAGCAAGCTGTGAAGTTTTGTATTGGGGCTGGTTTGCCTCCAGACAAGCAAACCTCTGTAAAATGTAAAACTCTCCCCTCCCCCCCCCCCAACCACTAACATCTTTCTGGTCTTTCTAGAATATAGAGCAACAACAGTATAGACACAAACTGTAATTATTTTGTTATTACATACCAATCTATATTAATTGTGGACCCCATTTTCCACTTTAATTACACACTTCTTGAACTGAACAATTTAGTAATTTACTACCATTTGTAAAAATATAGAGAAATTTAACTTACTAATAATTTATAGAGCCCTCGGTTCGAATGTTCGATCGAGTTTCACATCGTGGGCATAAGATCCCTTCCATTTTTCCACTTGGTAGTAATTGGTTCGACTGTAAATTATTTGTTATCCGTCAACTTTGAGGGATTTCTCTTCGCATTATTTGTCTCATAATCATTTGCATATAGTGTTTGTATATCCAAATATCCTTGCCGCCATGACCTGAATCGAATGCTTCGTTATGTCACAGTGGATTTGATTTTGCAATTTGCATCAGTGGACCGATGCGAGCGCCCGCAATCTGCATGTGATGCATCGCTCAGCGGCCAAATCTAACGTGACGTAGGGCTCTAGAACAATAGATTTGATGATGTCACGTTAGATTTAGCGCGGAAAAGGACTCGGGACCGATGCATTCACTGATGCAAAATGGATGCCAGTGATGCCAAATCGAATCTAACGTGACGTAGGTGATGCATTTTGCTTCAACTGTGACGTCAAAGGATGTGGTAAAAAATAACATTTTGTCATGAAAATATTGATGCTTAAGTGTCGCAAAATAACAGAAAGAACACATTTGTGATCGCACGTCGCATATTGGACTTATTTTTGACAATTTCGACTGTTATGGAGACTATTTAAATTGGATTTCATCCTAAATAGTGTATTCCTGACATGGAGTCAATTTTAAGCAAAGATTTGCGGGTTGATAGGAGATATTTTATTACTGAGTGCTTTGAGTATTGGCGACATTATATATCTATATATTTCAAGCTACATGAATCATGATTTCACAATTTTGACCGATGCATTCGCATCGCTGGCATCGGTCTGGATCCGCCCCTGTGCACATATATAAACACATATATAAAAGACCGCTGTCAAAGACTTATAATGGTCAGGTGAAAACTGTTTCCAAGTATACACGAATAGGAACAAAATTATTAATAATTAAAGTTTTTGTCACTTAATTAATGCAACATTTGTACAACATTTTAGTGAGAAATGCGACGGAAATTGATTACCTATAGACTATAGTGCTTGAAAATTTCAGATGTGGTTATTGAGCTGTCAAACCTAATTTGTTCAGTTTGCTTCGAATAGCAAATTTTGCTATTAGAAGCAAACTGAACAAATTAGGTTTGACAGCCCAACATCAACGACTCTTGTCACTTGTGCCAACCATGCTATTTTTTTCCACGCTATTTTTTCCACGCTATTGTTTTCCATGCTATTGTATCAATTACGTGAGCCAACACAATTACTCATAACACAATTTATAATTATTATTTACAATGATCATTTTGATACAAGATTATTGACGTCCATATTGGCATTACGCATTTACCAACTAAACATTGTCATAGCACAAATGTTCAACAATCTATAGTATCTAATCTGTCTCCACTTTATTTGGAGGAAAGGCCAAAAAGGATTGTCCAGGGCAATCTTCAAAATGCATATATATACATTTAGATTGTATTTGTTCTATTTCTACTGTTGCTTTCTTGGTGCTATCCGGTGGAGTTACGACCATAATACCAGGAACGGATGCATGCGTAAGGTCATCGTTGATAAGGTTAAACTCAACTCTCGAAAGAACAGAAACGACCACGACATTAATAGGCTTACAACTGCTTTCAACCTCAAGACAAAGGCATGTTGGTTTGTATTGCGCAAAGAACTCGATATTTCCGTAATTAGTCTTATCTATGTTAACATCGGAAAACATAATGGTATAGTTGTTTCTGTTTTGAACACGACTATATGCTTTGGAATGGTAAATTTAATTTTCTTTCCAAAGCCAGGAAAAAGTGTGTACTTTGAGAACTGTTGCCAGTGTGGAGCGAAACGTTTGTACAAAAAAGTCCTGTTCATCATGAATCAGTTGACGCCAACTAACTCCACCGACCGTGAAACGGTGATATGAAATGTGTATTTCGTTATTTTTTTGTTTTTCATTACCAGTAAGTTTTTGGTAAAAATCATTCTCGGTACTTCCAGTTATGAAATCTGCTGTGTTGGTGTAATGTACTCAGGTGAATAAGATGTTTGTGTGATGTTACTCTGAGTGTGTATCCACACCGGGCAGGCTTGAAAAATATGCCTGGTCACGGCGGGATTCGAACCTGGGATATTTTTCAAGTGACCAGGCATATTTTTCAAGCCTGCCCGGTGTGGATACACACTCAGAGTAACATCACACAAACATCTTATTCACCTGAGTACATTACACCAACACAGCAGATTTCATGATTATTAGATTACACTGATATCTAAGGAACTAGACTCAGTTCCGAAATATCGCATACTCGAACCGTCCTGACCGCGTAGCTCAGTTGGAAGAGCATTGGGCTAGTATTCCAAAGGTCGTAGGTTCGAATCCGGCCGTGGCCAGGCATGTTTTTCAAGCCTGCCCGGTGTGGATATACACTCAGAGTAACATCACACAAACATCTTATTCACCTGAGTACATTACACCAACACAGCAGATTTCATGATTATTAGATTACACTGGTATCGAAGGAACTAGACTCAGTTCCGAAATATCGCATACTCGAACTGTCCTGACCGCGTAGCTCAGTTGGAAGAGCATTGGGCTAGTATTCCAAAGTCGTAGGTTCGAATCCCGCCGTGACCAGGCATATTTTTCAAGCCTGCCCGGTGTGGATACACACTCAGAGTAACATCACACAAACATCATACTTCCAGTTATTTAAAATTCTTTTTCAAGTTCTGGTAAACGTTTTAACATTGAAAGTGCAGATATAATTTGAAAATGAATCTGCTGCATGCCGTGTACTGTTTTCAAAAGAAAGCCATTTTTATCTTCAAAATTAAAACACGAATGAGTCCACAATGGTCCGAGCTCTCTCACACTATCCACTAAATGAACGAGAGAGTGAATATTTGCTGTTTGATGTCTGTGACCATAAAAAGGCAAAAGAAACATTACACACAAGTGAAATAAAAGTCGTTCAGCATGTGCCAATTTCTCTACCAAAATAGATTGTTTTAACAATACAAATATTGCCTCACTTAACAGTAAAAAATGCTCATAATAAAGTTTCGGTAAAATATTTAGAAGTACTGTTGGACCATAATATAAAAGCAAAGACCTCAATTCCGAAGCTTTGCAATACTTTCTATGCCCTTCAATTGATCACGGACATCTTGAAATGCTGCTTGGTGGTTTAATTGAAATAAAGCGCCTATCCACTTCACGCATTTTGTGTGAAATACAAAAATCAAAGCTTCGACTAGTTCCGAACCATAAATGTAATAACAGCTAGTAAACAGACCTGCTTTGGGAGATTCCACGTCTATTCCTTCAGTCTCTAGTATTCTTAAACTTGAGTGAAAAGGTTTGAAATATGTGAGCATGTTCGGCTTAGGGGAACCAAATCACAGGCCAGCAAATATCATATTGCTTCTACAAATTCGTTGTGCATAAGGCAATTAATTGACAATGCTGTACAAAGACCAAATCACAAGTTTTGAGGATTTAAAAACTGGGATACTGTCTGTGTTTCACGTAAAAGAAATATTCCGTTGGTCAGGCAGTATACCGCCATTTTTCAAATACTTTTGATATTTGTTTCCGTCATATATGTCTTCGAGGTTTTTGCTACCTTTCTTGATTCTTCTGAAGCGAAACTTGAGTAAATCCCACATACTAGAGGTCCCAAACATTGAAGCTATTTGTTTCTCCATTGGTACTTCAATGAAAAAACTTACATTGCCAGTCACAGTTAAAACTTGTTGACACAAAGCATTTGGACAAGTTTTTGTTTGATCATCAATAGCAACAGCACAGTGAGCACAGTACTTGTGGAATTTCAAAGGACTCTTTAAATGTTGAAAATACTTTTTGAATTTAAATATAGATTTAAAACAATAGTTTGGAGTTCTACAGTGCAAGCTAATCAGATTTAATAGGTCATGCAATGCATTACCCAATAGTAAATGTCTCATTGCAAAGGTAATTATAAGCAAAGCACTGAGGCCGACGGTAAGTGGGCAATTTTCGTAAAGTGGTTTGTGATCCAAATCTTCAGATTCTGCGTCAGTATACTCTTTGGCACATTCGGTGTTTTCTTGTTTGTTTGGTACGTCAGTACTGTCTGGTTCTTGAAATGTGTTGTACTATAGTTCATCGTCATGTTCTTCCATTTCTTTTTCAGTGTGAACCATTTCATCTTGAAGAACGTCTGGTATTCGGTCCAAATAATCCAACACCCATTTACTTTCTTTGTTTGTCTCATTCTCGCCTGCAGTTGGAAGTGGTTGATTTTGGCAACCATTTTCTAACTCAGTTTTGGCAGTTGTTTCAAAATTCACTGTGGGGATGTAGGGAACTGATAGGTCATTGCTTAGTAGTGCACTAAGTTCATCTTCACATGGTTGGTCATAATGATCTAAAGATTCCTCATCCTCGAGAGTTGCATCAACGTCAACGCACTGTTTCAACCGGTTGGTGCTGTATTTCATAACAAGGAAAACCCACCAATTCTGATTCTTAATGTAAGTTATTGCCATAAACTATAATTGTTTGAGCTAATGTGCTGTAATTGTGCTATTAAAGTTCGGCAGTCACCAACCAGAGAGTCATTATAACCACAATGGTGAAGGGGATCAAAACAGCAATCGCTGTCCAAACACCAGCTGTGTAACTTTGTGCTGATGAAGACCAGTCAGAAGGTGTTACTGGCGCATGTGCTCCGGAGCTGGCTGAAACTATGTACGATTAAATATAATGATACAAATAAAAAGGCTTACCCCAGGCTGGTGGAAAAGCTAGGAAACTCGTGGCAGGGTAACATTCTTGATGGGCAATATCAAGCGAAAGGGTTCGCTGAAAAACTAAATAGCCTTTTGAAGAAACCAGAGTCTGAATTTGTGGATGTAGTATGGGATCCTCCTCACTGGACAAATCTGGCCATAGAAGATGTGTTCGAAGGAAAGGTTGGAGAGTCAAAGGAATTTATGAAGCAATTGATAAGTATTAATCCTAATTACGTAGTTCTTAACTCATTAAGTTGCAGACTGTTGCAACATTGGCACTCCCCAAGTTGTAAGGAAAATGGCGAATTTTAGTTGTCAACTTCTGTCAACTGCTTTTACAAAAATACCTATATCTCAAGATCAATGTTATAAAAAACCTTGAAATTTGGCAGTGGGTTAAAATGATTAATCAATTTTATTTTAAATATATCATTAGATTTTTGGGTGAGAATTATTGGTTTGTGCAAATTTAAGTCCCTGACATTTTGTTTCTTCATGACACCCAACATCTGAAGGGCAATAATTCCATAACGCACGGGTGGATCCATCTCCTGAGCTGACTGATGCATACATAAGATCTCGTATTTGTAGGGGGGTCCGGGGGTATCATCCCCCGGGAAATTTTGAAATCTAGGACCTCGGAAATGCGATTTCCTGCGTTCTGAGCGGACTCTTTTGTTCCAATTCATATGTCAGAGTCACAAAAATTTTGCTGCATTTTTGGACTGCATTTGCTTGTCCAAGTGTAATAGCAGCAGTGGCAATAAGTCTCTATTAAAAAATAGTCAGTACTGTGCTTCTTGTAGCCTTAACTTTTCTATTGAAAAACATTTCGGCAGAATATCACAACAACGCAAATACACACATACTGTGTAACAAAGGTGTATACAGTGTGCTCCACTAGTTGCATTGCTGGACTCAGAAGACAGTGTTATTATGTTGTTTATGAACCACCTTTCCCCATTAATTTCCAACGTTCCACGAGTAAAATCTTCTAGCATTAGAATTTAAAGTAAAATAAAATATGGTGCATAAAGGTATTTTGTGCTTCAGTGGTGGATCCAGCAAATTCAAAACCTAAATTCCACTCAAAATTTCAGTATAGGAATAAGGAAATTTCTGACCCTACCAAAATCGCAAATAAATTTTGTAGTTATTTTACTAGTGTTGGCAAAAATTTAGCTGACCAAATACCTTCCTCATCGGTATCTCCAAAATGTTATTTACAGGGAAACGTTTAGGAAATCTATATTTTTTATCCCAGCAACAATACAAGAAGTAATTGATATATCTCGGACATTCCAATCTGGAAAAGCTCCAGGGAACGATGGAATTAAAATAACAACTGTGAAAGAATTCATCTATCATATCTGTGAACCTCTCACGTATATAATTAACCTTTCACTCTCTTCTGGCATTGTCCCAAATAATATGAAAGTTGCCAGAGTTATTCCAATCTACAAAAAGAAGATCCCTCCTTGTTTTCAAATTATAGACCGATATCAATTCTGCCCTGTTTCTCCAAATTCCTTGAACGAATAATTTACAATAGGATATCCGACTTTATCAATAAAAAAGATATTTTATATATGCATCAATACGGATTTAGAAAAAACCATTCTACTTGTCTAGCCATGCTTCATTTGATCGATCACACTTCTTCGCTTGATCGCAAAGAACTCGTAATGGGAATTTTCCTTGATTTATCAAAAGCTTTTGACACGGTGGACCATGAGATTTTATTTGACAAGTTATATTTTTACGGTATTCGTGGTATCGCATTAGACTGGGTCAAAAGTTATTTTTACAATAGAAAACAATTTTTCCAATTCAACAAATCCTGTTCTGTTCCCCAAACTCTTGTATGCGGGGGGTGCCACAAGGTTCAATATTAGGGCCACTCTTCTTTCTGCTTTATATAAATGATCTTTATAATGTATCATCTAGTCTTTCAAAGATCTTTTTGTTTGCAGATGACACTAATATTTTGATCTCACACAAAGATCCCACATGTCTGACTGATATAGCAAATACTGAACATGACAAAATTAACTCATGGTTCAAAGCCAACAAACTCTCGCTAAACATTAAAAAGACAAATTTTATGATATTTAAAACATTTAAAAAACAAAATGTAATAATCAAACCACCATGCATAGACAGTAAACAGCTTGAATGGCTAATGCAGACTTCATTTTTGGGCGTAGTCCTTGACCAGCATTTATCTTGGAAACCTCATATCAGCAAGCTGGCAACGAAAATAGCAAAATCAGCTGGTGTTATATTTAAATGCAGATTCTATCTGCCCAAAAAATGTTTGTTATCGCTGTATTATGCTTTAGTTTATCCTTATTTACATCACTGCAATCTAGTATGGGGGTCATCGTATGTAGCAAATTTGCATGGGCTGATCCTCATACAAAAGAGAGTTGTACGATCAATTGCTAAAGCAGAATATCTTGCTCCATCTGAACTAATATTTAAGGAACTTAAAATTCTAAAAGTTATGGAAATTAATTCATTACAAAAAGGTACATTCATGTTCTTGTACTGTAATAATTTGTTGCCACGCAGTTATGATAACCTCTTTGACTATTTATACTAATGTATTTACTATGCTTACTTATGTATATCTCATAAATACCTTCACAATATCCCGTAATTTAAATATTGACTTATAAGTTATAATCATTTTTTTAGTTTTTTTCTCTATAATGTCCTCTTGTCATATATTGAAAATTATATTATATCGAGGAGTCTAATGTTTATAAGCCGTTGGCTTCTGTTTTAGACTTCCTCGTCACACACATATTATAGGATCTACTAATAACCTCTCATATTCAAAATAGTTTGGAGAACCCGATATTATGATGTAAATATTTAATCTTGTAAAAAATGTGTGACAAATTAAATTCAATTCAAAAAAATGACTCGAATCGAATGCCTCATTACGTCACAGTAGATTTGATTTTGCAATTTGAATCAGTGCACCGATGCGAGCGCCCGCAATCTGCATGCGATGCATTGCTCAGCGGCCAAATCTAACGTGACGTAGGGCTCTAAAACAATAGATTTGATGATGTCACGTTAGATTTCACGCGGTAAAGGACTCGGGACCAATGCATTCACTGATGCAAAATGGATGCCAGTGATGCCAAATCGAATCTAACGTGACGTAGGTGATGCATTTTGCTTCAACTGTGACGTCAAAGGATGTGGTAAAAAATAACATATTTTGTCGTGAAAATATTGACGCTTAAGTGTCGCAAAATAACAGAAAGTACACATTTGTGATCGCACGTCGCATATTGGACTTATTTTGACAATTTCGACTGTTATTGAGACTATTTAAATTGGATTTCATCCTAAATAGTGTATTCCTGACATGGAGTCAATTTTAAGCAAAGATTTGCGGGTTGATAGGAGATATTTTACTACTGAGTGCTTTGAGTATTGGCGACATTATATCTCTATATATTTCGAGCAACATGAATCATGATTTCTCAATTTTGACCGATGCATTCACATCGCTGGCATCGGTCTGGATCCGCCCCTGCCATAACCCAACATAAATGGCCAAATATTTTTTGATTCCTGGATTGGTACACATTTATATTTAAATTAGTTTTCATCTTGTAGGGTATAAATTACAAAATAACCAAATGCAATAAAAATTTGCTCGGGCATAGCTCAGGCACACTCAGGACATGTAGTTTACAATGGAGAATTTGAACTTCAGAACTTGTTGTTCAAGTCCAAAAACTCTGTAACCCAAAAACACAGTGTTTGTACCTCTTTGAAGTTTTTAAATACCTCAAATATGTTTGGAAAAACACAAAGTACACAAATTACTAATTAAAATATAAACAAAGGATGAAAAAGGTGAGAAAATTTTAAAATATTTGAGGTGTTTTTAATTCAGACTTTGATAACCAGCATTTTCAAACACAGTGTGTGGTGACAAAACACTTTTTATTTCGCTATTAAGAGCACTGAAAGTCGTCAAAAAGAGATAAACACTTTTGAATATTCATCAGGTAAGAATTTTAACTGAAATTCCTTGTTTCTGTTGAGAAAACAACCGATTTGTGGCCAAAACGTTGTGCGTGCCAATGTCGGTTGCTGTAAAATGTCAGACAGGTGGTTTCTTTTGAAATTGGACTCTAGTTTGAAATCTGACACTAGTTTGAAATAAGTCCTTTACAAGGACCAATTGTATAAAAATATAATATGTATGCTGAAATAAAATGAATAATCTAATAATTAGGCATTTTAGATTGCTATAAAAGAGTGAAATAAGGTATTTCATCTTTGGTTGTTTGTCAGATGACAGTATAAACACATCGGTGACACCTTATTGCGCATGCAGTTTTCAAAAGATAAACTCCTAAGAATATAGCTTTTATTTCACAAAATAACCAAAGTATCTTGCAGATATTAATAATAGAGCTCAAGAGAAGTAATTCCATGATAAATAAGTGAACAATGAGATGAAAAAAACGACTAAATTACAATTTTGGAAAGTATATTAATTTAATGGCTTCCCGCAAAAGAAGCCATTTCAGAGAAGAACGGCATTTTGTAAACTGCTGTCCTGACCTATTTTATAACTTTTCCTTCAGGTAATCGATGAGTACTTCTTAGAAAATGAGTGTGCATTAATTTTATGATGTGCTTTGTTGATTTACATTCTTGCCAAAAAAGTGTATACGCATATGACAAGTTGAACTTACTGTCTTCTGAAAGTACTTTGGCTAAAATAACAACTTGAGCATGAAGACCAACAGTAGGGTCACAAAAACAGTTGAAATCATGCCATAAAATCCATGAAAAGTTCTTCTAAAAACTTAGTTTTAAACTAGATGATTGAACTTGCTTTAATGCTATATAAAATTTCATGAAAACATGCCAGGTATTTTCATTAAAAAACATGCTCAAAAAATCGTAACTACTCACTTGGATTTAGTGTTCATGTTTCTTGCGATTTCCCACTTCACTTTCTGTTAGATTGAACAACTAAATTTGGACAAGAACTTGACTTGCAAAGTCCCATCTTGTGACAATTTGCGGTTGTCACAGGTTTTGTAAAAAAATTAAGTTTTAAAACTGAAAATCTTCGCAAACTTTTATCAATTTTCTCGCATGATGTATTGTTTGAAAGCCTGAATTTTGCACTTTATACTTGTCGCGTTCTCAATGCACCACAAGAAGGTTGCTGATGCACCAATTTCGCATGTATTAACCACTGTGTTGTGTGGACTACTCCATTTACAAGACTTTATTTAGCAAAACACACATATACACAAGCGCGGTAAAAACTAGGAATAATATAAAGGACAATATGTAAATAAGTGCTGTAACTAAGATAAATCTGTAGAATTTAATAGTACGATACATTACACATGACTTACTTCTGATTTCTCAACCATGAAAGACTATAAACCCTTTTTAAACGGCTTAAAAAATAGAATACTTTGCTATTTTTGGTTCTTCGAACGTTCTGTGAATGATTCAGAGCCCACAAATCAGTATGTCAGCGGTAGTCTAGCTTGCTAAGTATGACATGTAAACATAATATCAATTGCATAATAATTAATATATGACAATAACGTCACACTCCTCATCCAAGGATAATTTCATCCTTGCTACTCTTTCTCACCGTCCTTGGTTGAATCCTGCTTCATCACAACTCCGGGCACCAGAAGGATCAGCTCCTTGATATGGCACAACATAACTTTCTTCTTTCCATCTTTCATAATTGCGATAGAAACTTTCCTCACTATGACTATTAGTGCCGCAATCGCATGCTGTAGTGATGAAAGATTTGAGAATCCTTCAAACCTCTTCACTCCCAGTCCAACTGCATCGTTTGATGTGTTGACTTTAGTTGCCAGGATGTCAACTTCTTTTCGCACTTCGGAGTCGCTCTCGCATAGGGGGTAGATTTCATTCGTTTGAGGGGTGATGTCAGTGCTTCTTAGGAATATGGACCCGACAGCCAACTTGATTCCATCAGGTTACTGGGTTTGACACCACGTGTCACTAGATCAGCCGGGTTGCACTCACTTTCGACATACCTCCACTGGTCCGGTGATGATAGGCTTCGTAGTAACTGAACTCTGTTTGCGACGTATACATAGAAACGATTGCTTTCATTAGTAATGTAGGCTAAGACCACCTTTGAATCCGTGTAGTAAGTAACTTGTGCAATTTCCATGTCAATCTACTTCAATATCTTCTTTACTGCCTCGACTACTAAGATTGCTCCACAAAGCTCTAGACGAGGTATGCTGACGGGATATATCGGGGCCAATCTTGCCTACCTGCAGACAAACGACACTGACACTTCCTTTTTCTCATTCCAAAGCTTTAGGTACACTGACGCTCCAATGGCGTCCTGACTTGCGTCTGGGAAACCATGTAACTCTGGTCTCGCTGTTGTGCAGAATTCTTTTGGGCAGTAGCATCTGGGAATAGAGACGTGTTGTAAATCTCGGAGGGAATCTTTCCAGTACTGCCATCGATTCATGATCTTTTCGGGAAGAGGGTCATCCCATGCAAGAGGGGTGCTGCCGTCAGTCGCTTTGCTCATAGCTATCAGCTGTTGTAGTAGTTTTCATCCTTGTAACATAGCTGGCGCTGCCACTCCAAAGGGATCGTACACGCTGTTTATCACCGAAAGGACTCCTCTGTGGGTGAAAGGCTTTTTGGGTAAGGAAACTTGATATGTAAACGCATCGTTCTCGAGGTCCCAGTAAACTCCAAGAGACCGCTTCACTGGAAAGGTATCCAGACAAAGGTCTAAATCACGTAGGCCTTTTGCTCTGTCGTCTATTGAAAGAGTTTCCATAACGTCTACGGAGTTGGAAACGACTTTGTGCAGCCCTTAGATTCGACGATGCTAGGGCGTTTTGGGCACTGGTGACAAGTTTGATAGCTTCTTCGGCAGTAGGAAGAGACGCTAGGCTATCGTCAACGTAGAAGTTACAGTGTACGAAGTCCTGAACCTCCTCGCCATACTTCTCCTCTCCCTCACTGCAGTCTTTCTCAGCCCAAAGGTGGCTACTGCTGGGCTCGGTCTGTTTCCAAATAGATGAACGTTCATGCGATACTCAATCACTTGCTTCTGGGGATCATTGTCTTTGTACCAGAGGAATCGTAGATAGTTCCAATGTTCAGGATTGACGTAAAAGGAATAGAACATTTGCTCGAGGTCGCACATTACTCCCACTCTTTCTCTGCGGAAACAAATCAAAAGCCAAGCAAGCTATTCATGAGGTCTGGACCAGGTAATAGAACCTTGTTCAACGACACACTGTCAAACTCGGATGGCGCATCAAATACAACGCATACTTTGGCTGGTTTCTTGGGGGGTACACTCCAAAATGCTGCAAATAGCAAACATGGCCTCTCTGTCCATGTATTTCCTTTGATGGGACCGGCATTGCATGTCCTTTACTGAACATCGTCTTCATAAACTCCAGGTAGTCTTTCTCCATTTGCGGCTTTCGCTTTAGTGTCTTTAGTAGGCCATTGAGATGATGGATAGCTTGAGGATGGTTATTAGGCAAAACAGTGTCTCCTTGGCAAAACGGCAAGGGCATTTCCCAGTGTCCAGTACTGTTTTTGTGGATTTGTTTCTCCATTACCTCCAGAAATCTCCGGTCTTCGATGGAAAGGCTGGTCTCATTATCAAGCGGGGTTGAGCAGAACACGTTACTCCCTGTGACACTGTCAGTGATTTCCAGTTGGTTTGGACATGGAACTACATAATACTCCAGACCATCTACTTTAACAGAGGTTAAATCTTCCCGTTTGTGCATCTTATCACTATTAGCCACCTTAAGCATGTAGGACGGCAACACGATGACGACGGCCAAAACAAATTCCTTCAAATAAATGATAGTAATGAAAACTTGTCGTATATTATAATTCGTATGAATTTATACAGTATAAGAAGTGGAAAACATTGGCTTTATGTTTGGGAAGAGTTCTACTGAACCGAATTTTAAGTTGCACTTGTTATGGCTTGAAATGCAGGCGTTGTCTAAAAGACGTGAAAATCTGTGATTTCCCGTTGTAAACAGGGCGACGACTACGTCTGAAACTCCCCTGGGACTTTAATTATTTATTTCTTTTGATTGACTCATTGTATTGGTTGCCGTTGCCATCGTGTTGCCATCCTACATGCTTAAGCTCCCTGTTATCTGGAACTACACTTGTCTTTCGACTTCCGATGTGGACGGGTCCATTCAAAGAATTCAAACATAATTGACCGGTGATGGTCAATCAACAGCAACCTAACAACAGCTTCTGTGCCCAGGGGGACCTTTTGGACCGTTCTTGAATGCTCGAACTTTCAGCAGCTCAGTTGCGTCTCGACCAAGTAGAATGTGCATGCCTGCGTTCTCATCTCTAGGTGGAATCTCTTGGGCAATGTCCTGAAGATGAGGGAACCTCTGTGCTACTTCAGGAGGTAGGTATCTCCTTCTTGTCATCGGGAAAACTGTCACATTCTACAAGCGTTGGTAAGTGCGCCTCTCTACCATTTGATGCAGATCTTATAACTAGCCGTGAAACTCTGCGACCAAATTTTGTTTCTCCATTGCCGCTGCAAGTTGAAGGGTAATATTTCTCCATTGGACCATCTGCTCCAAGCTTTGTCCATTAGTTCGCTGCTAATAAGAGAACTGTTACTTTGGTCGTCAATAATTGCATATACTCGGGAGGACACATTGGGTTCGTCCGGTTTAACAATGTCCACAAGCAAGATTTTACTACAGGAAATGCCACAGTTATTATCTCCGCATACTGCTGTGCAAGTATTTGTTATCTGCTTGGATGCATCCTCCTCGCCTTCGTCTTGTGTGTTCTTCTCATCTTTGCCACCTTCGCATACTTTTTCTTTGTGTAGCAGAGCAAAGGTGATGATCGTTACCACAAACTGTGCAGCTGATCTTGGCTTTGCATTTCTTGGCTTGATGTCCCTCCCCAAAGCACCGAAAACACAGTCCGGCTCTCTGTATCCACTCGGTTCTTTCACTCAAAGATTTTGCTGCAAAGGCTTTGCACTCGGTCAGACCATGATGGTCACACTTGTGGTATGGGCACCACTTCTTGACAGGAGGTACTGGTGATGGTGGGTCCTGGTGGGCATCCTTTTCGTCGTCCAAGTTTGTTCACAGGGCCTTCCGATCTCTGGGTTGTTCTTTACGTCCTTCAAAGACAGGTTGCTGTAGGCTGCTTGCAAAAATGTTCAGGTGGTTCTTAACTTTCGCTTGAGTGTTTACTACCCGAGTGAAAATATTAAAGCCTGGATATGCATCATGGTGACTTTCCGCATGTTTAACAATTCCTTTTCCCACTTCGTTCTAAGGGATACCGGTAATTTTTCAATGATTGGACGAATAGCTCCAGGGTAGTGCAGACAAGCTAAACCAGGTAGGTTGTCAATTTGACTGTCCACGTCTGCACACAGATCTGCAAATTCTTGAAGTTTGGCATAATCTTTTTCGTGGAAATTCGACGAGCTGTGTAAATGCTCCAACAAGGCATTTGTTATGACGGCTGGGCTTCCAAAACGTGTCTCTAATTCTTTCCAAAGGTTCTGAAGAAGGCTTGTGGGGTCATTATGATTACGTTTTCTAAAATTGTCTACAACACGCTGGACTTCTCCACAAGTGAAACTACGTAGATAATTGATCTCTTGTTCTGCAGTGACGGATGTGTCTTTAATCATAGCTTTAAAAGCTTGTTTCCAGGGGTGGAAGAGTGTTGCATCACCACTGAAAATGTCTGGATGACATTTAGGCAAGTTTTGTCTTGCTAGGCCAGCGGCCACTTGCTGATTAGCTGACATCAACAACTCTATTAATTGACTTCCGGTTGCGTCTCCAATTTGACTAAATTGGGAAATGAATGCCTGGCTAGGTGTTCGATAAGAGCTGTTACTAACACTCCATAGTGGAACTGTACTGCCAATATTTGTGGTGGTGCCATGGGAAACAAGGGGGTCGTGAAGGACACTCTTCACTGGAACTATACCAAGGTTTGTGGTGGGATCATGGGGAACAAGGGAGTCATAAGGGACACTTGTTGCTGGAACTGTACCGCCGAGGTTTGTGGTGGGGTTGTGGGGAACAAGGGGGTCGTAGGGGATACCTGTTGCTGGAACTGTACCACCGAGGTTTGTGGTGGGGTTGTGGGGAACAGTGGGGTCGTAGGGGACATTAACAAAGGGTGAGGGGTTTGTCCCAGGCAAAGCATTTTCTTGTGAGACGACTGAGTTTACCCAGTCATCCGTTCTCTCCTCAACTCCCATCTCCGGAATTTCCGGAATATTGACTCTCTCTCCTAACTCCTCTTCTTGCAATGCTTCTTCAATAGCTTTAAGCTTTGCGTTGGCAATAGCTACTTTCTTGTCTGCGATTAATATTGCCATTTCTTTTGCATGCTCCAATTCTCGCTGGCGACAGTCATGTTCTTTTCTTGTCATCACCCGTTCATATTCTGCGCTTTCACGGGCTGCAGCAGCTTCTGCTAGAGCGTTTAGTCTAGTGTAACTACTTGTTGAGGAAGATGATCGGCGGCTGTGGTGTGAATGTGATCTTGAGCGCCTAGAGGGGGCCTCTGAGCGTCTGTCAGATTGATTAGTTTTCGCTTTTTTAATCATACTATGTGCCTGGCTAACAGTCTGCTCAGCTTCTTCTTTAAAATCCCCATAATTGTCTTGTTCAAACAAACATTTCAGTTCATAAGTAATGAGTTCATACTCATTTGTGACCTGCATCAGTTCGTTCATGTGCCTTTCGATAATATAATCTTCGCATTCTTCGATTTTTTTTAGAAGTGCAATCAGTTTGCTACGTTTACAAATTGCCATTTCAAGTTTGTCATTTACAGTGTCTTGAAAAACTTTATTTGACCAAGTAATTCTCCGCTTTTGACCGTCTGGTACTTGACTTGGTTCGGACAAGTCTTTGTCACCCTGGTTACTCATACTTTATAATTATATGGACAAGAGAGGTTGGTCAGGTTGGATATAGTTTACCTCGAATCTCTTCTGGATAAAGATCAGAATTTTTACTGTCGCGTTCTCAATGCACCACGAGAAGGTTGCTGATGCACCAAGTTCGCATGTATTAACCACTGTGCTGTGTGGACTACTCCATTTACAAGACTTTATTTAGCAAAACACACGTATACACAAGCGCGGTAAAAACTAGGAATAATATAAAGGACAATATATGTAAATAAGTGCTGTAACTAAGATAAATCTGTAGAAATTAATAGCAGGATACATCACACTTGACTTACTTCTGATTTCTCAACTATGAAAGACTATAAACTCCTTTTAAACGGCTTAAAAAACTAGAATACTTCGCTATTTTTGATTCTTCGAACGTTCTGTCAACGATTCAGAGCCAACAAGTCAGTATGTCAGCGGTTGTCAAGTCTAGCTTGCTAAAGTACGACATGTAAACATAATTAATATCAACTGCATAATAATTAATATAATAATTAATATATGACAATAACGTCACACTCCTCGCCCAAGAATAATTTCATCCTTGCTATTCTTTCTCACCGTCCTTGGTTGAGTCTTGCTTCACCCCAACTCCGGGCACCAGAAGGATCAGCTCCTTGATAGGGCGCAACATAACTTTCTTCTTTCCGTCTTTCACAATTGCGATAGAAACTTTCCTCACTCTGCCATCTTGACTCCTAATGGCGTTCGTGACTCGTCCCATGGGCCAGTCGTTACGATATTCTCCATCTTCCTTCATCAACACGACATCCCCTTCGACGAGATCTCTCTGCACCTTGTTCCACTTTTTTCTCGATTGAAGAGACTGAAGGTATTCTCGGCGCCACCTTCGCCAGAATTGATCTGCGAGGTACTGAACTCGTTTCCACCGACGACAAGAATACAAGTCGGTTGGTAGGAATTTGCCAGGTGGAGGTCCTAGAGGACGGGTCTTCATGGTAATCAGCATAGCAGGTGACAGTGGTTGTGGGTCGTCGACGTCCGTTGGCACCGCAGTCAATGGCCGAGCATTGACAATTCCTGTTACTTCCGCCATTAGGGTTGCTAGGAGATCATGGGTCAGCTGAGTCTTACCGAATTCAACGAACATGCCGTCTAAAACGCGACGAATGGTCCCGATTTGCCTCTCCCACACGCCCCCAAAATGTGATGCATGTGGCGGATTCAATTCCCACTTGCATCCTTGTTCCGTGACGAATCGTTGGACCTTTCCGAGATCCATTTCTTTGAAGGCTTCTTCCAACTCCGACTCTCCTCCGATGAAGTTCGTGCCTCGGTCGCATCGTAATATCGCCGCCTGGCCACGTAGTGCGAAAAAGCGCCTGAGAGCACAAATAAAGGCACTTGTATCCATGGATTCCAACAACTCGATGTGTATTGCTCTACTTGCGAGGCAGGTAAATACGAGGCCCCAACGCTTCGACTTAGCCGCACCGCCTCTGGTTTTTCTCGTATGGACTTCCCACGGACCGAATACATCAAATCCGACGTTTGTGAATGGAGCACCAACTTCCAACCTATCCGCAGGCAAGTCAGCCATTCTCTGCTCCAGTGGCCGGCCCCGTAACTTCTTGCAGGTGACGCAGGAATGTATTTCTTTCGATACGACGTGATATCCCCCGACTATCCAGTAGCCAGCTTGGCGCACTGTACCTCGTGTAATGGACCTTCCTTGGTGGTGCACTCGCCCGTGGTAATGTCGTACTACCAACTTGGAGACATGATCATTCCGCGGCAAGATGATGGGGTGCTTCTCTCCAAACTCGAACTCTGCTCGCCGAAGACGTCCACCAACGCGGAGTATGCCATCGCTGTCAACGAATGGATCAAGACGATACAAGCGAGTTCTTCTTTGAGATTTCTTATCCGTCACAACTTCTCTGCGTTGTCTCGTGTCTTGAGTTGTGGCCGTTCGCTGTAATTGTTGTAGTTCGCCGCTGAATATTTCTCCTTGCGTTGTACGGACTATCACAGCCATTGCCTGTTCCAACGCTCCCGTACTATGGTGTAGCAGTAGGTCCTCCTCTGGCTCGGTTCTAGTGGGTTGATTTCTTCGTTGCTTGAATTTCCTCACTATGACTATTAGTGCCGCAATCGCACGCTGTAGTGACGAAAGACTTGAGAATCGTTCAAACCTCTTCGCTCCCAGTCCAATCGCATCGTTCGATGTGTTGACTTTAGTTGCCAGGGTGTCAACTTCTTTTCGTACTTCGGAGTCGCTCTCGCATAGGGGGTAAATTTCATTCGTTTGAGGGGTGATGTCAGTGCTTCTTAGGAATTCTGGACCCGACAGCCAACTCGATTCCATCAGTTTACTGGGTTTGACGCCACGCGTCGCTAGATCGGCCGGGTTGCACTCACTTTCGACATACCTCCACTGGTCAGGTGATGATAGGCTTCGTATTAACTGAACTCTGTTTGCGACGTATACATAGAAACGCTTGCTTTCGTTAGTAATGTAGCCTAAGACTACCTTCGAATCCGTGTAGTAAGTAACTTGTGCGATTTCCATGTCAATCTCCTTTAATATCTTCTTTACTGCCTCGACTACTAGGACTGCTCCACAAAGCTCTAGACGAGGTATGCTGACGGGATGTATCGGGGCCAATCTCGCCTGCCCGTAGACGAACGACACCGACGCTTCCTTTTTCTCATTCCAAAGCTTTAGGTACACCGACGCTCCAATGGCGTCCTGACTTGCGTCTGAGAAACCATGTAACTCCGCTCTCGCTGTTGTGCCAAATTCTTTTGGGTGGTAGCATCTAGGAATAGAGACGTGTTGTAAATCTCGGAGGGAATCTTTCCAGTACTGCCATCGATTCATGATCTTTTCGGGAAGAGGGTCATCCCATGCAAGAGGGGTGTTGTCGTCAGTCGCTTTGCTCATAGCTATCAGCTGTTGTAATAGTTTTCGTCCTTGTAACATAGCCGGCGCTGCCACTCCAAAGGGATCGTACACGCTGTTTATCACCGAAAGGACTCCTCTGCGGGTGAAAGGCTTTTTGGGTAGGGAAACTTGGAATGTAAACGCATCGTTCTCGAGGTCCCAGTAAACTCCAAGAGACCGCTGGGCGGGAAGGGTATCCCGACGAAGGTCTAAATCACGTAGGCCTTTTGCTCTGTCTTCTGTTGAAAGAGTTTCCATAACCTCTACGGAGTTGGAAACGACTTTGTGCAGCCTCAGATTCGACGATGCTAGGGCGTTTTGGGCACTGGTGACAAGTTTGATAGCTTCTTCGGCAGTAGGAAGAGACGCTAGGCCGTCGTCAACGTAGAAGTTATGGTACACGAAGTCCTTAACCTCCTCGCCATACTTCTCCTCTCCCTCCACTGCAGTCTTTCTCAGCCCAAAGGTGGCTACTGCTGGGCTCGGTCCGTTTCCGAATAGATGAACGTTCATGCGATACTCAATCACTTGCTTCTGGGGGTCATTGTCTTTGTACCAGAGGAATCGTAGATAGTCCGGATGTTCGGGATTGACGTAAAAGGAATAGAACATTTGCTCGAGGTCGCACATTACTCCCACTCTTTCTCTGCGGAAACGAAACAAAACGCCAAGCAAGCTATTCTTGAGATCTGGACCAGGTAATAGAATCTTGTTCAACGACACGCCGTCAAACTCGGCTGACGCATCAAACACAACGCGTACTTTGGTTGGTTTCTTGGGGTGGTACACTCCAAAATGCGGCAAATACCAAACATGGCCTCTCTGTCCATGTATTTCCTTTGATGGGACCGGTGTTGCATGTCCTTTACTGATCATCGTCTCCATAAACTCCAGGTAGTCTTTCTCCATTTGCGGCTTTCGCTTTAGTGTCTTTAGTAGGCCATTGAGACGATGGATAGCTTGAGGACGGTTATTAGGCAAAACAGTGTCTGCATGGCGAAATGGCAAGGGAATTTCCCAGTGTCCAGTACTGTTTTTGTGGATTTGTTTCTCCATCACCTCCAGAAATCTCCGGTCTTCGATGGAAAGGCCGGTCTCATTATCAAGCGGGGTTGAGCAGAACACGTTACTCCCTGTGACACTGTCAGTGATTTCCAGTTGGTTTGGACATGGAACTACGTAATACTCCACACCATCTACTTTAACAGAGGTTGAATCTTCCCGTTTGTGCGTCTCATCACTGATATCTGGAACTACACTCGTCTTTCGACTTCCGATGTGGACGGGTCCATTCAAAGAATTCAAACATACTTGACCGGTAATGGTCCACCCTAACAACAGCTTCTGTGCCCAGGGGGCACCTTTTGGACCGTTCTTGAATGCTCGAACTTTCAGCAGCTCAGTTGCGTCTCGACCAAGTAGAATGTGCACGCCTGCACTCTCATCTCTAGGTGGAATCTCTTGGGCAATATCCTGAAGATGAGGGAACCTCTGTGCTACTTCAGGAGTAGGTATCTCCTTCTTGTCATCGGGAAAACTGTCACACTCTACAAGCGTTGGTAAGTGCGTCTCTCTACCATTTGATGCAGATCTTATAACCAGCCCGGAAACTCTGCGACCAAATTTTGTTTCTCCATTGCCGCTGCAGGTTGATAGGTAATATTTCTCCATTGGACCATCTGCTCCAAGCTTGTCCGCTAGTTCGCTGCTAATAAGAGAACTGTTACTTTGGTCGTCAACAATTGCATATACTCGGGAGGACACATTGGGTTCGTCCGGTTTAACAATGTCCACGAGCAAGATTTTACTACAGGAAATGCCACCGTTATTATCTCCGCATACTGCTGTGCAAGTATTTGTTATCTGCTTGGATGCATCCTCTTCGCCTTCGTGTTGTGTGCTCTTCTCATCTTTGCCACCTTCGCGTACTTTTTCTTTGTGTAGCAGAGCAAGGTGACGATCGTTACCACAAACTGTGCAGCTGATCTTGACTTTGCATTTCTTGGCTTGATGTCCCTCCCCAAAGCACCGAAAACACAGTCCGGCTCTCTGTATCCACTCGGTTCTTTCACTCAAAGATTTCGCTGCAAAGGCTTTGCACTCGGTCAGACCATGACGGTCACACTTGTGGTATGGGCACCACTTCTTGACAGGAGGTACTGGTGATGGTGGGTCCTGGTGGGCGTCCTTTTCGTCGTCCAGGTTTGTTCGCAGGGCCTTCCGGTCTCTGGGTTTTTCTTTACGTCCTTCAAAGACGGATTGCTGAAGGCTGCCTGCAAGAATGTTCGGGTGGTTCTTAACTTTCGCTTGAGTGTTTACTACCCGAGTGAAAATATTAAAGCCTGGATATGCATCATGATGACTTTCCGCATGTTTAACAACTTCCTTTTCCCACTTCGTTCTAAGGGATACCGGTAATTTTTCAACGATTGGACGAATAGCTCCAGGGTAGTGCAGACAAGCTAAACCAGGTAGGTTGTCAATTTGACTGTCCACGTCTGCACACAGATCTGCAAATTCTTGAAGTTTGGCATAATCTTTTTCGTGGAAATTCGACGAGTTGTGTAAACGCTCCAACAAGGCGTTTGTTATGACGGCTGCGCTTCCAAAACGTGTCTCTAGTTCTTTCCAAAGGTTCTGAAGAAGGCTTGTGGGGTCATTATGATGGCGTTTTCTAAAATTGTCTACAACACGCTGGACTTCTCCACGAGTGAAACTACGTAGATAATTGATCTCTTGTTCTGCGGTGACGGATGTGTCTTTGATCATAGCTTTGAAAGCTCGTTTCCAGGGGTGGAAGAGTGTTGCATCACCACTGAAAATGTCTGGATGACATTTAGGCAAGTTTTGTCTTGCTAGGCCAGCGACCACTTGCTGATTAGCTGACGTCAACGACTCTATTAATTGACTTCCGGTTGCGTCTCCAATTTGACTAAATTGGGAAATGAATGGCTGGCCAGGTGTTCGATAAGGGCTGTTACTAACACTCCATAGTGGAACTGTACTGCCAATATTTGTGGTGGTGCCATGGGGAACAAGGGGGTCGTAGGGGGCACTCGTTGCTGGAACTGTACCGCAGAGGTTTGTGGTGGGGTTGTGGGGAACAAGGGGGTCGTAGGGGGCACTCGTTGCTGGAACTGTACCGCAGAGGTTTCTGGTGGGGTTGTGGGGAACAAGGTGGTCGTAGGGGGCACTCGTTGCTGGAACTGTACCGCAGAGGTTTCTGGTGGGGTTGTGGGGAACAAGGTGGTCGTAGAGGACATTAACAAAGGGTGAGGGGTTCGTCCCAGGCAAAGCATTTTCTTGTGAGATGACCGAGTTTACCCAGTCATCCGTTCTCTTCTCAACTCCCATCTCCAGAATTTCCGGAATATTGACTCTTTCTCCTAACTCCTCTTCTTGCAATGCTTCTTCAATAGCTTTAAGCTTTGCGTTGGCAATGGCTACTTTCTTATCTGCGATTAATATTGCCATTTCTTTTGCATGCTCCAATTCTCGCTGGCGACAATCATGTTCTTTTCTTGCCATCACCCGTTCATATTCTGCGCTTTCACGGGCTGCAGCAGCTTCTGCTAAAGCGTTTAGTCTAGTGTAACTACTTGTCGATGAAGATGATCGGCGGCTGTGGTGTGAATGTGATCTTGAGCGCCTGGAGGGGGCCTCTGAGCGTCTGTCAGATTGATTAGTTTTCACTTTTTTAATCATACTATGTGCCTGGCTAACTGTCTGGTCCTGCTGAAGCCAATCAGCTTCTTCTTTAAAATCCCCATAATTGTCATGTTCAAACAAACATTTCAGTTCATAAGTAATGAGTTCATACTCATTTGTGACCTGCATCAGTTCGTTCATGTGGCTTTCGATGATATAATCTTCGCACTCTTCGATTTTTTTAAAAAGTGCAATCAGTTTGGTACGTTTACAAATTGCTATTTCAAGTTTGTCATTTACAGTGTCTTGAAAAACTTTATTTGATCGAGTAATTCTCCGCTTTTGACCGTCTGGTACTTGACTTGGTTCGGACAAGTCTCTGTCGCCCTGGTTACTCATACTTTATAATTATATGGACAAGAGAGGTTGAATATGGCTTACCTCGAATCTCTTCTGGATAAAGATCAGAATTTTTACTGTCGCGTTCTCAATGCACCACGAGAAGGTTGCTGATGCACCAAGTTCGCATGTATTAACCACTGTGCTGTGTGGACTACTCCATTTACAAGACTTTATTTAGCAAAACACACGTATACACAAGCGCGGTAAAAACTAGGAATAATATAAAGGACAATATATGTAAATAAGTGCTGTAACTAAGATAAATCTGTAGAAATTAATAGCAGGATACATCACACTTGACTTACTTCTGATTTCTCAACTATGAAAGACTATAAACTCCTTTTAAACGGCTTAAAAAACTAGAATACTTCGCTATTTTTGATTCTTCGAACGTTCTGTCAACGATTCAGAGCCAACAAGTCAGTATGTCAGCGGTTGTCAAGTCTAGCTTGCTAAAGTACGACATGTAAACATAATTAATATCAACTGCATAATAATTAATATAATAATTAATATATGACAATAACGTCACACTAACAATTGATCAGGAGCTTTATAAATTGTGAATATAAAAAGTCTTTTGCATTTCGAATGAGTAATTTCAATAACAGTGGATTCGATATTGCTACTCACAAATGCCAACGTACCACCACCAGATCTTCCATTCGGATCATTTCTGGAAAACGTATAGCCAGGAATAGAGATTTCACCATTAGTTATATCAGAGTTTAGCCAGGTTTCAGAGATCGTAAAAATATCAAAAGGTTTTTCATTAAGTAGAAGTTTAATAAGTCTATTTTATTGTAGATACTTCTGATATTGAGTTGTGCAACATTAAGAACCCGAGATTGAAGAAAACCACTTGCTTGATAACTATTAGTAATCGATGCAGGTCCAGGGTTAGATTCTACATCACCAGATATAGAAATAACTAGAACTGCGAGAATTGCGTATAGCAGTAAACGGCACCCAAAGAAAACCTTTGGTGAATTCGGCAATGATCATCGTTTTTCCCTTTTTCGTCGACAACCGTATTTAATTAGACTCATGATATGGGTTGTTGCACAACATATGGGTTGTTGGTTGTGGTTGTTGAACTTCTTTGTTGGTTGATAGTTCAGTTCATTTTTAAGCCCATGGCCAGAAATTCAAGACATTTGCACTGAGCATGTGCGAACTTCGAAAAACAAAATGGCCGAAACGCTACTATAGAATAGTATAGGGGAGCACCATTTTTTGTAAATATAAGCCAGTTCAATCGCTGTTACAAAATTTGCCTCACTATTTTTGAAAATAACAAAACATTTGTAGTCAAATAAGATAAATATCATGTCATATTATTACCTCCTAGTACGTCCATTCATTTACCCGTATCGCGGCACAGATCTGGCTCCTATGAACTGTATACAATGTGCCCAATTTACGCGAAAATGGCCAGTTTCGATCAAAATGTTACAACCCGTTTCATTTCTTGTCCAATTTGCCTCACTTCCCTCGTAAACTTCACATCATCAAGTATTCCGTCTGTTATTTTCGAAGTGATCTGATATATTTTAGACCGTCCATTTTTGCCGAGAAATGCAGTAAAAATTGACAAGTGAATTATCCACAAACGATAATTTTCATGTGAGCGAAGACGCGATAAACATGTACAAACAACATCTATCATTCTATCCTTTTCATATAGCCGGCCATATTTGATATCAAAACGAAGTCCAGAATCTGGGCTTTCTATCAGCAATGATGATTACTATATGGGTTCCCATAAACGTTGAAAACCACGAAAATTAACTTATAGACACGACGCAATATACGCGAATATAGGTTTATATCGACGTCTGATTAAAAAACGCGTCCGAACCATGTTTTCTTTTGAATATAATGCGCCATTTTGGTATCAACAAGAAGCTCAGGTACCAGGCTTTTTAATACGGAAGGACAGGAGGGGAAATTTATGTATCCAGAGGGGAGAATGTGCTGTATTTGACCAAATCAGTATACGGCAAAGTATCTCGATCGGGAGATACTTACTAAGCGCATTAGATCATATTACAATGCTATTTTGCGCAATATAAATACTAAGCAACATAAGAATTTTGTCATATCTTAGTTGTAATTTACGCACGAATGAGAGCCATAGCTTGAATAAATGTCTCCGTGAATATGCGAACTATATAACTACGTGTAAAAATACTATTTTAAAACAATATCATTTGAATAATTTGAGCAATATTTCTGTCTGGCTTCGCTTTGCTTAAATTCGAGTTAATTTAAATTAGTTAAACCAAGTACCTCTCAAGTAGCCGCTGTACAAGGCAGGCGCATGTCTCGCATTTCTGGCCATGGGTTACAGACGAGCAGGTTTTCTATGACAAGTTTTTATGTGACAAGTTTCATTTGCCAAGTGCACGTGTGTATATATGCAACAAATTTTATATGACAAGTTTTCATATGACAAGTTTTATTTACTGGGGTGAACGTGTCAAGAAGTTTACTTTGACAATTTATTAGTCGCCAGCGGACAACGCGTGCACTGGCCAATCACATCAAATTCTCAGATTACTTTGACAAGTTTTCTTTGTTGACCCATACAGACGAACAAAATTTGTACTTTGACAATTTTTTCTATGAAATGGCATGGACGTTTTTCTTGACGTTGACTATTATCAAATATAATACTGCACCAATTCCCTTTTCGCTTGCGTCGGCGAAACTACGAATCTCTATTTTAACAAGGTGTTCGAACTCTGGCAGCTTGACGCAACGTGGAACTTTAACTTTCTCGAGCAGTGGTAATTCATTGCGTCATTTTTCCCATCTCATTAAAACGTCTTCGGGTAACGGATCGTGCCAGTCCACATTCTGACTACAGAGGTCCTATAGGATTTGCTTACCGACTAAGATAACAGGTGCGACGATCCCAAGAAGGTCGTAGATTGTGGAGAGGATACCACGACGTGTAGCTGGTTTATCTTTCAGTTCTATGCGAAAACCAAGAGTGTCGGACTCTATACACCAGAATGTTCCTAACGATCTTAGAACTGGAAGCACGTCGTGACGTCGATCAATGTCTTTAAGATATTTGGCTCAATCATTTACTGGCAATGATTCTAGAACTTCTCGTCGATTACTGGCAGAGTTATATATGTAGACGTAAATTGGCGCTCGCGCACATTGCTTGGGTGGTTTATATCACATCAATAGCTTCTTTGTCAGTTGATAACGATGTAAATCCATCATCTGCGTAAAAATAGTTTTGGAGAAAGTCTGCAGCTTCATTTCCAAATTGTTCTCGTCCAACATCTGCTGTTTTTCGTAAACTGAAATTAGCGACGCCACGAGAAGAAGTTGCCCCGAAGACATGTACATTCATTCGACATTCCACTATCTGTCCATTGAGTTCGTTATCTTTAAACCACAAGAAACGAAGGAAATTGCAGTGTTCGGGAATAACATAGAAACTATGAAACATTTGTTCAATGTCGCAGTTGATGGCGACATATTCCTTGCGAAATCTCAAAAGCATGCCGATCAAACTGTTCATCTAATCTGGTCCTTGCAGCAAGAGCTTGTTCAACGATTGGTTGTCGAAAGCTGTGCTGCAATCGAAGACCACTCGGATTTCCTCTGTTTTTTTAGGGTGATGAACATCGAAATGTGGAAGGTACCATACTTGATCGGGTGTTGTTTGCAACTGTTCTTTTGGTATGTAGCTTGCATGGCCACGATCAAAATTTTTTTTATGAATTCTGTATATTCTTTCTTGATTGCGTCGTTCCGAATTAGTAACTTTCTCTTGAGCGATAAAAGACGTTTAACACACTGTTCCTTGTTGTTAGGAAGGTTGACATTGTCCGTTTAGAATGGGCGTTTCCCAATTTCATTCTCATGTATCTGAGTACTGAGAATATCATTAAAACTTTATCTTCTAGTGACTCTATACTTGCTCTGTGCCACGAACCTTTCGACTATAATGTAATTCGTTGTAGTGGCGAGTTCCATCATCTCTCGAACTTGCTGAGGACTAGTAACATTTTTCTTGTTACAGTTGCTAGCGATGAAGGTTACTGAAGCCATAGCTCAGACGTTGCTCTTATTGAACGGATACTCTGTCGACTGAAGCTTTGTGCTGGACTGGTTTCTGGCTATCATTGTCTAAACAAACATGTCCAATGATTGTTCAACCAAATCTGTACTCTTCGGCCCACGGTTCTTCGTCTTTTCCGCAGTAACACTTGGTGGTTGAAAGGCTGTCGGAACGTTTTTTCCAATGAGCATACCGATCTCGACATCTGATCACAACATGAATTTCTAGAAATTCTGCGAGCATCCGTAGCCTCGACAGACGCTTCGAGATTTATATGAAATAAATATTCGTTGAGGTCGAAGACTGAGAGACTCTCACTCTGGGTTGGTGGTCCGAAGATGTAAACATTGTGATGGCTCGGAAAGGAACTTAAAGGTCGTGGAAAGTTGCTTTGCTACAGCCTACAGAGACCATGCATACAAAGATTCGTCGAGAACACAATCCAAATGTAACCCGTGATCAAGTTAAAATACAAATTGTTATAAATATGTATCACATTATTGTATGTCTATAAAATCCTGAAGGCCTTGAAATTTAGAAAATTACGGTGGTGTTGGCAAAAAAATAGGCAGAGCTTCCCAGTCTCACGGTTTATCTGTTTACCTGGGCGTACGGGCCTAATCTTCTTTGGAGGAGGGGGGTGGGGGGGAGGCACAGTATTAGTTTGCCAGACCGCTTTGCTTACACAGTACACATATACAACATTGTTCGAGATTTTAATTCATGGCCTTTTTCAAGGATTTTCCCGTGGGGGGGGGGGGATTTTTTGAAAAGGGTCCTTTCCGTGAGATAATGTGGAATACATACCACGCATGAATCCTCAGGGGATGTGGGGGCATACTCCCCATTAACCATAATTTATCATTACTTATTAGACGGGGATAGCAATGGCCAAAGGCCACGTGTGTGGGGGCATACTTCCACAGAAAATTTTTGTAAAATTTGAAGTCCGGAAATGCAATTTTCTGCATTCGGAGCATCCAAATTTGCTTTAAAATGTATGCTAACTATACTTGTATTTGAAATAAAAGAAGAAAAAACGCACAAAAAATAAATAACAATTAACAATAACTTATCATTACTTAGTAGTAAAAAAACGTAACGATTTAAATCTTTTTAAACAAGGACAAAGGATAAAGCCTAAAACTTACTTTCCGTTTATCTATTTGTTACTCTTCGCTGGTTTGTTTGTATAAATTTAGGAAAAAGGGACTTTTCCTGGGGAAGGAGCAAATGTGATTTTGTGGGGGGCACAAGGGGGGAGTCGACTGGAGGGGAGGTATTTGCCCCCTGGCGGGTGTGTTACAGTAAAAAAGACCCTAAATTTTGTATGTGCTTTTATAAACAAATGAGTATATTTGTGTACAGGCTGCGTTAGCAGAAGTTTAATCGAAATGTCTCGAAACACTAAGACAAAAACTAAGAACAATGCTCAATGTTTCTGCAAGCTTCATAATCTTTGCCATAAGCCATCATCATTCATATACGGGTGTTCTTCATGTATGGCAAAGTATATTAAAAGCAATAATGACAAATGGATTTTTGCTCAATTGCTCAATGCCCCCCCCCCCCCAGTGCCCTCCAGGTTTCCACTATAAATTTTCGCCAGGTTTTCACTAATTTTCATTATTATTGTCTGCGCTACTCCAAGATGATGAAAACAATAGGCGAAGAAATTGTTAAACCTCTAACACATATTTATAATTCAACGTTTTTAACTGGAAAAATTCTAAATTTTCTAAAGATAGCTCTAGTGACTCCTATTTTCAAAGCAAATGAAAATAATCTATTTGAAAATTACAGACCAATATCGGTTTTGACATGTTTTTCAAAATTACTAGAGAAATTATGTACAAACGACTATTTAACTATGTAGAAAAACATAACATATTATCATCAAATCATCAGTATGGTTTTCGAAGAAATAGATCTACAGAAGACGCCTTACTAAATCTAACCGATAAAACTTCAAAAGCTTTAGACGAAGGTAAATAAACAATAGGAGTTTTCCTTGACCTTTCTAAGGCCTTCGATACGGTAAACCATGAAATTCTCTTCTCCAAACTACAACACTATAGGATCAGAGGAACATGTCTACAATGGTTTATGAATTATTTAAACGGAAGAACTCAAATAGTAAAAGTTAAACAGCATAGGTCATCTGAAATGAATGTTACTACAGGAGTCCCACATGGTTCAATTCTTGGTCCATTATTATTTCTTTTATACATTAATGACATTGAGAACTGTAGTGATATTATTTCTTTCGTTTTATATGCTGGTGATACAAATGCTTTCTATTCAAATTCGTGCTTGAAAACATCATCTTGTACTATACAAAATGAACTTGATAAGGTAGTTCAATGGCTCAATGCAAATAAATTATCAATCAATGTATCCAAAACAAAAATTGTCATTTTTAAGTGCAAAAATAAATCACTGGATTCATAGATAACAATAAAAATAAATAATGATATAATTAAACAGGTGCCTTCCGTAAAGTTCTTAAGTGTCACATTAGATCAAAAGTTGACATGGACTAACCACATCAACTCAGTTTTAAAAAGCATAACTAAATCTACAGGTATGATTGCTAAATTAAGACATTATACAAACAAAAACACTTTCCAATTGATTTACTATGCATTGGTCTATCCATACCTTACGTACGGAAATCTAGTTTGGGGTAATACATATCCAACAAGATTACAGAAGTTATTAAAGATACAAAAGAAAATTGTCCGACTAATGTGTTTTAAATCTTATACAGATCATTCAGAACCTTTATTTTTTAATCTTAAAATCTTGAATATCTACAAAATTAATGATCATCTTTGCAGTCTATTTACGTATAGCTGCATCAATTATGATAAAAATTTGCCAAACCTTTACAACTTTTACTTTATTCAAAATAAAGAATTGCATAATTATAATACGCGAAACTCTTCAAAATTGCACGTTAGTTATAAAAGGAGGAACTATCGTGTTCACACTGTTTTTAACAAGGGAATTTCGATATGGAATTGTGTTGATGAAGAAATTAAAAATCAAAAATCGTATTTTTCCTTTAAGAAAAAAGCAAAATTAAATTATTTGCTTGTTAATATAAATATTGTTAGCTAAAACATGTATGATATATATTGAACCAATTTAGATTCATGTATTTTATTTTAATCAAAACAATATAGGGGCCTTATATCAAAAGTCTAGCAGGATTTCAAAAGGTCCTAGCTCCTTTATATTATTGTATTTTAACTATATTTCCATTGTAAATATTTTTTGTGAGCAAATATATTCTATTCTATTCTATCGGGCATCCCTGGAAGTACAACCGCGGGATACCTCCTTTATTCCCTCTCGGCCGTCATGCGGGCAAGAGCACAAGGCTTTATTACAATATTAATCTATCATTTCCAAGAAGCATCTTTAATTCAGGTACTGGGGAAATTTTAGTTCTATTTCTGGGGCCGGTTGTTCAAACCACGATTATGTTATGATGCTTATGTATATCTGTACGTCTGTTTCATTCAAAAATTTAGAAAATTAAACTTCTGATGATCCAGACAAGATAACAGAAAAAAATTTCCAGGTTTATAAAGAAGCTGCTGGGCATGCAGCTAGTACGCTTAGAATTTCACGTTAACCCAGGGTTAAGCTAACCGGCTTTTGAACAACCGGAAGTAGATGGAAAATATGAAAACATATATATGCTCAAGAGGTCGGAATTGTTTTCTTCCCCAAAACCAAAGTACACCTAGAAACAGTGGCCTAATAAAAGAAATTTACTGCCATGCTGCCATTATTGTTTTAGTATGAAATTAATCAGAAAATTGTTTATTATTCACACGTAAGGTAAGACAGTATAAGCATAACACTTCAGGGTTCTACGGTACACCAATGAATATAAGCCATGGGCTAGCGTTCATAAGCATGGGGGGCTTGTATACGGACGACATTGGATGTTAGTAATAACATTTATTGTACTTGTAAACTATAGTGTGAAGGAAAAGAAATATAAACATATAGTATATAAGCTATACATAAAACAAGTTGGTGTAATTATTGTCACTATTGGAATCCCTGTCACTGTTCAATAATATAAAGCCTGTAGGCTTGTAAATGGAGGGGCTTATATATATAGAGGGGCTTATATTTGGAATGGCCTGAATGTTAGTTATGATAGGCCAATACACATAGGAGACTTATACTCGGGTGGGCTTACATTCGGGGGTTTACGGTACACTTCTTAATTAATCATCAGTTTGCAACTGCTCTTTACATATGACCAATTTTTATCCTACCAGGAAATTTCTCAGGATTCCAGAGTGAACTCCACTACCTTTTCTGGAAGATCTTACCTGCAGTTCGATCATGAGATGTAAACGTGAAAAGCTTAAAGTAGTAATATGGAGGCCGATCGGGCCTTATTTTGTGGAGAAATGTGAAGGGTAATTAACATAACTCCACATTAATTAACATACCTCCACATTAATTAACATACCTCCACATTAATTAATATACTCCACAATAATATACCTCCACATTAATATACCTCCACATTAATTGCGGAGGGTAATTAATATGCATGACGTCACGCGGGCAAGCTTGGGCAAGATCGGGCAAGATGGCCACTTTTAGCATCCCTCCACGTGTGTGATACAATGGAGGGATTAAGATTGGCTTACTGTGATTGGTTGTTTGATTTAACGACTTTTATACAAACGTCTCTAACTTTAACATCCTTTAACAAGCATAGTTCTACATTTGACAACGCTTAATTCTGCATCAGTCATAGAGTGTCTACATGGTAAAGCCGCGTCTTACAATTTATTGGAAGGAATATATGCGAATGCAGTCGCACAAGAAGTTGAAAAATTTTGTGTGAATCCTGTAATGGTTGTGAAGTCGGTCATCTCAGTCAAGGGCAACATGACTGCCTCGTGATGAACGAAAACGAACGTTGGCAAATGTATGGTTTACAAGCGATCGAATGAGTGAATGCTAAGCGTATGGTTTGGAGTGAATTCGCTGAGGCAATGAGGGTACTTTAAACTGAGGGTTGGCAGAGATGTACTCGACCATTTACAGCAAAAAAGATCCAGATTCCATGTTTGTCGATTCATTGATGGAACTACATCAAAACACTGAGAACCACGAACTACAATGTATTCTGAACTATTTACTATTCGTTTCATTGGAGATTAGAAGACCCGCTCAAGTCAGTAGCTGAAACGTTTTTCTCTTGGTCACCTACAATCCTGGTCAAAAATATTGGCGCACATGATACTGACTGGGCGAAATTTGACTCCCACTTCAATAACAAGCATAGCAACCCCCGTTTCTACCGTTCAATGTTGTGTGTAGTGTGTTATACGTCCAAGGTGTTACACAACATTGATAAGGGGGATAGAGGGTGTTTGGACATGAAATTTTGCATAAAATGGGCAAGTATGTATATGGTAGTCAGAAATGAAGTAAAGGTTGTGCTATTTCGACTAAGTGCGCCAAGAATTTTTGACCAGAATTGTCTGACTGTGCATGATTGTCTGACATTTCATAAAAATACATTGGCCTTAATCTTTGAATCGTTAGTGGACCTTTAATAATGTTTTGCGTATTAATGACGTGCGTCTAAATAAATAATAAACATTTATAATATAATAATAATAAAATATATTAATAATGACATATTAAAGTACGCTATTTGATACATGTATCCTTTTTTTGTATTTTCACTTTAATCGTACTAAATCTAACAGCATTATGGGCGTGTGCACACTTTGAAAAATATAATCAGATGGAAACAAGTATTTAAGCCGTAATTTGTGGTCTTGTACATATTTCACAAGTTACATTTGACAACTGAATACCATGTGGACATTGCTTTGCTACTAAGTTTGTTTTATATAACAAGTTATAATTAAATCGCATTGGTCATTGACGTAATAAGTACTTAATTACAACCTATAATGTTTCACGCCCAGATATGCATAACGTAAAGTCATAGGTCCACACATTACTCCATCAAAAAATTCATTGTAAATCTATTTAAATTTTAATATCTGCAAATAATATAACGATATTTGATAATGATATTTAATGGTCAACTTATTTGCTTCGAAATAAATTAATTATAACTATATCTTGCATGATTTTGAACAGTGCCCCCCATTTTCCTAAAGAATTCAGAGAGATAGTCAAGGAATTTAAGCTAGGTTTGTGGAGCACTGATCTTAATTTAGCAATAATGACCTAAATAAGATTTTAAAATGAATAAATGCATTTATTCAAGTAATGCAAACCACTTTGTGTATTCGAAAACAAAAATTTTTGCATCCTTGGCAAATGATTAGGAAATATCAAGGGAACACTGTTTGTAATTTTGCTTTGCTGCACCATTGGAGTCACGATGTGAAGATGTGTAATTGTACTTAGCATTTAATCTACTTGTTGGCAGCAAGCTGAAACATGGCTACACCTATTTTGATCTATACTGCCGTTACTCTGCCTTGAATTACTATATATAACAGTAAAAGATAGAAGCACCATGTGGAAGCACCAGTTTCAAGATGGTGGCATTTTTTTTGGCTCTGCTAAAATCTACTATTTAGTCGATCTTTTTGAACAATTATATTGTTATTTGTTTTGTTTTTGTAATCTTATCTGTTAAAACATTGGAGATGTCGAAGAATATGATAAATTTAGAGGAATTCAAAGCGATTTTGGACGAAAAATTGGCTCCACTAAAATCGGAGATTTCAGAAGTGAAGGCAAAGTCTGAAGAAATTAGAGCGTTTCTTGATATGGCAAATGAAAAGTATGATGAAATTATCACAAAATTAGCTCAGCGTGATGCTGAAATGAAAGACATTAAAACAGAAAATAAAATTTTGAAAGCAACTATTAAAACTATGGATGATCAAGTAAGACAGCTGACGGATTTAGTTAATGACCTTGAGCAATATTCAAGACGCGAATGTCTTGAAATACAAGGCATTCCATTAAAGAATTTTGATGATACTAATTCTATTGTGGTGAATGTCGGCGAGCTAATGGGTATAAATATTAAGGAGGAAGATATATCGGTCAGCCATCGCCTACCAATAAGATCAAACTATAGAGGCAAGCAAGCAGATCCGACCATTATTGTAAAATTTGTTCGCCGTCACACCAAGGAAATATTTTATAGAGCACGAAAAGAATTGAAAAATAAGACATCGAAAGACCTGGGCTATGTATAAACGAACTTTATCTACATCAATGAAAGTTTAACTGAGAAAAATAAATCCCTATTTGGAGGGGCAAGGAGAGCGAAGAAGGAGTTGGGTTATTCTTTTATATGGACAGCAAATGGACGAATCTTTCTAAGAAAGGACAAGGATAGTCCTGCAATACTCATAAAAAGCAAAGATGATATTAGTAATCTGTTACGAAATTCAAGATAAGTATCATCAACTCAAGTTTATTTGCTTCTCACCTGAACAAACTTTTAATTCTAATAGTTATAATAATTGCCTACATAACTATTAATATAATTCTTATTAATATAATTTATAGCTTTAGTCACCATAATTTTCTGTTGCTGTTGTGTGCATGCACCACTGCCGGTTGTTATTTTCAGATAATCTTAAATTCTAACAATGGCAAATATCATTAACAATAGGACAAATGTGGGTGAAGGGATAGCACAGCTTGATAATCTACCTTTTCTACACCTTTCCTCGCCGATTTCAGATATTCCACAGCTTAAAAATTCTGATATTGATTTGAATTTACCGTTGGAACATAATTTCAATTATTATTGCACTAATGAGTTTTGCAATGATTATGATATTAAACAATTTTCATTGGACCCCATAACATTTTCTGCTTTAATTAAACTGCAATATACGAAGCTTGGCAGCCAATTTCGATAATTTACATAATATGTTAGTCGAATTAAACTTTCCCTTTTCTCTAATTGGTCTTACAGAAACTAAATTCAGAAAAGACGTTGAACATGTAACAAATGTTAACATGCCAGGATATGATCTTATTTCACAACCAAGTTTGTCTAATGCAGGAGGTGTTGCTTTTTATATATCACATAATCTAAATTACATTATCCGAATTGCTTTACTACCTCCAATGTGGACTTTGAAGCTCTTTGGATAGAACTCCATTTTAAGGGAAAACAAAATTTATTGTGTGGAATTATTTATAGACATCCTAATGGGAATCTAGATAATTTTATGAATTACATCAATCAGACAATTGAACAAATTCACCAGGAAAATAAATTATCACTTGTGATGGGTGATTTTAACATTGATCTTTTGAAATCCCACACATCATCTGAAAACTTTATAAATAGTATGAGTTCTTTCTTCTATCTTCCTCATATTCTTCAACCAACTAGAATAACTGATCATTCTTCAACTTTGATTGATAATATATTCTTCAACTCAGTTGAACACTTTACTATAAGTGGTAATGTGGTATATGATTTAACGGACCACCTCTCTAACTTCAGGCTATTAGTAAGCACACGGAGTACGGAGCAGACGGAGTACGGAGCACACGGAGCACACGGAGCACGGAGCACACGAAGTACGGAGCACACGAAGTACGGAGCAGCACGGAGCACGGAGCACACGAAGTACGGAGCAGTAGAAAAACGAAAATCCTTTATAATAAAATACACTGTTTACTATTACAATTTTTTGTTATTATTATCAAAGTTTTTTTCGCGTATTACACGTTGGGGAAGTAGGAAAATGGGGCTTTTACTGAAAAACACATATGATGCAAAACCAGGCTGCCAAAAGCCATAGTATTTAAAATGGGATTGTGAAACTCGTTATCTTACATCTATCAAGCTTATGTAGTTATATTATATTCCGATGGGCAACACATAAAGAAACACTTACTGTAGAGAACAGCCGATATATTTCGTTACCCCTGCCAAAAAATAGCCAAGTATACTCATCTTTCAATGTAGCGGATCGACTAAACATTAAATCTTGTGATGAGAAAAGTGAATTTTCGGTTTATCCTTCGGCTCAGTGACCGGTGGCAGTGAGCTGTACGGCCGGCTAAGTTTAAACCGTTATACAGTACATCATTACTGCTTTCATTCTTTCAATTCGTTTTGAATATTCGGAATCATTCACAATATTATAAAACTGTATAAGATAGCTGTAGAACTATAAATGCTGTAGAATGAAATAAATAAAGAAAAGTAAGTTTTCAAATCGCGGTATTTGCCGATAAATCGGTAATCGCTACAGAAAAACAGAACAAATTACAGTATTAAAATCACAACAAACCACGGAAGTGGGACAATTTTTGTATTTTTACTGTAAGACATGTAGAACATGTACGAAATCGATACAGAAGTGTGTGTGTATTCTATACTTTTGAAACAACTAAATCAGACTTCGGAAAATTTGACCGTATTAAAGGCTAAAGCTGCTTTTGGGAATTTAGATTTTAGGTCTTCGTTTTACATGTACCCAGACCAGTAAATATTTTTGAGTTTTGAATTTTGTGTATAAATCAACACCAACGCCTCAAAGGCGAAAAGGAGGGCAAGATTGTTAGAATTGCTATTGTAAACATGAGCAGTTTCGAGCATAAACACAAAATTGAAACGAGTAATTTTTACACATCTGATTGACTAAATTCAGGAAGCCATTTAAGGAGGCTCCCTACAGTTCCGTGCGGGATGTTCGCGGGATAATTACGTAAACTATCCCACGCAACTGCATGATCAAAACAAAACAAAAATTGACCATGCTTTTTTTAAAAATAAAGCTATTTCTGAAAGGTTTCTAATGGAAAAAAGCGTTGAATAATACTTCGTTTTGAGTGCCAAATCACTTGCGAGTCTATACAGCAATTCTACATATGATACGAATATCACTAGACCAAAAATAGCTACGAAACAATATTTTTTAAATTTTTTTATACACTGTCAATTGACTCAACTGTAAAACATTTGCAAAATTGCAAACAGATGTTTAAAAAGTTGTTTATTTCTCAAGAAAACGTTCACGTTTTTAGTCGTGTTTCTACAAGATTAAAGTGATTATATGTAAACAGAAAAATATTTCAGTTTCATAGCCTAATTGTTCATTTTTAGCAAAAAGTAGAAAACCAAACATGAAACAAAAAAACACGTCCACCTGTTAATAGGCTGTTACAGCTCATAGATTGAGTAAACGGCAGGATTCAATTAGCTTCAACCTTGTTTTCATCGATTTAATCCTTCACAATAATTCTTGGCTGTCCATAGCACTCAAATAAATCGAAAAGCTGACAAAAACAAAACAGTAAAAACAACATTGCGGCTCGCTTTTGCTGAATGAAAACTCGTTTTGCGCCCGCGTACGATCTTTGACTAGTCAGCGACGCTTTTCAATAGGGGAATTTCTCGAGTTACACGAGGCTATTTTCTAACTTTATTTGCATTTTACTCATTAGTTTCATCGGTGACCTATCTTCAAATTTTGACCACGAATTTATTTTGCGGTAAATTTTATAAATTTCAAATTTTAAAAAAATCTGTAGTGTGGAAATTTCGCAATGAATTTTTCGCTTTTAAAAAAATCACACACTACAGAATTTTTTTAAACTTTCACCACACTTGCAGAGCATCATTCCTTATTGATATATAAAATAAAAAAGATAGGTCACCGACATCGTTTTTGAGATAGCGGCACATTTAGGGGTTAAATTGGAAGGCTTTATGCTGTCGTCATGTTGCCATGGGAACATTGACATCGTCGAAATCTAGTTCGAAATATTCCTTAGGTCACCAATATTGCCACCAAGTTGAAAAGAATTCGCGTTCTGCACGAATAAGCCTGTTTTACGGAATTATTGCTTAAACAAGAATAACTGTAGGGAGCCACCTTAAGTGCACGCGTATTTGTTACAATTCCGATCAACTCTGCACGGCAGAGCCAGAGGCAGAGTAAATTGTAAACAAATTGTAAGCTTGTGAGAATCAAAGTTCAAAACTCAAAAATATTTACTGGGTACATGTAAAACAAAGACCTAAAATCTAAATTCTCAAAAGTAGCTTTAATACTGTCAAATTTTCCGAAGTCTGATTTAGTTGTTTCAAAAGTATAGAATACACACACACTTCTGTATGGATTTCGTACATGTTCTGCATGTCTTACAGTAAAAATACAAAAATTGTCCCACTTCCGCGGTTTGTTGTGAATTACTGTAATTTGTTCTGTTTTTCTGTAGCGGTTACCGATTTATCGGCAAATACCGCGATAAAACGTAGTTTTCTTTATTTATTTTATTCTACAGCATTTATAGTTCTACAGCTATCTTATACAGTTTTATAATATAATAGTGAATGATTCCGAATATTCAAAACGGATTGAAAGAATGAAAGCAGTAATTATGTATAACGGTTTAAACCGGCGTAGGCCGTACAGCACATTGCTCACTGGTCACTGGGACGAAGGATAAACCGAAAATTCACTTCTCTCCATGACAAGCTTTTATAATGTTCAGTCGATCCGCTACATTGAAAGATGAGTACTTGGCTATTTTTTGGCAGGGGTAACGAAATATATCGGCTGTTCTCTAAGTGTTTCTTAATGCGTTGGCCATCGGAATATAATATAACTACATAACTCATAAGCTTGATAGATATGTGACGAGTTTCACAGGCACAATCCTATTTTAAATACTATGGCTTTTGGCAGTTTTGCATCATATGTGCAGTAAAAGCCCCATTTTTCTACTTCCTCAGCGTGTAAAACGCGAAAAAACTTTATTAATAAGAACAAAAATTTGTAATAAAAATTTGTAGTAAACAGTGTATTTTATTATAAAGGATTTTCGTTTTTCTACTGCTCCGTAGTTCGTGTGCTCCGTGCTCCGTGTGCTCCGTGCTCCGTGTGCTCCGTGCTCCGTGTTTTACTAATAGCCCTAACTTCATCATTTTCCATAAGTTTTCCTCCCTCCGATCGAGTATTAATATATATAAAAGAGACTCCTCAAAATTTGATGAAATTGCGTTATTAAATGAAATTCAAGAAATTAATTGGGAAATAACATTCCCATCTGATAATAATCCAACTAACATGTTTCATTCTTTCTATGATAAAATTTCAACAATAGTAGATAAACATATCCCCATTAAGAAAATAAGTAAAAGACAATTGAAATTTAATTCAAAACCATGGATAACTTCTGCAATTAAGAAATCAATTCAAGTTAAGAATAAACTGTACAGGGTATATCTGAAGACAAAATCTTCATATTGTCATAGCAAATTTAAATATTATAGGAACAAGCTAAATCATCTCCTGAGAATAGCTAAAAGACAATATTATAATAATTACTTTATCCAAAATGTAAATGATAGTAAACAATTATGGAAAGGAATAAAAGAGATAATAAAAACTAAGCCAAATACTAATCAGAAAAGTATAAAAATATTTGACAATAATGTAGAAATAACTGATCCAAAAATGATTGCTAATGCTTTCAATAAATACTTCTCAAATATAGGTAATAATCTATCTAATGTAATACCTAATGTTCAAAACTCGCCTCTAGATTATTTAAAAACCCCAGTACAAAATAGCTTTTTTATGTTCCGAGTAACTAGTGAAGAAATTGTGACTGAAATTTCCAAGCTTAAAAATGGCAAGGCCGCCGGCCCATTTAGTATACCTGTTCACATACTCAAAATCCTTAAATTTGCAATTTCCGAGCCTTTAGCAACTTTATTTAACACTTCATTTGAGACAGGAATTGTTCCAACAAGTTTTAAAATAGCCAATGTTATACCAGTATATAAGAAGGATTCGCCATCCAGCCTTTGCAACTATAGACCAATTTCCCTTCTTTCTATTTTCAATAAACTTTTAGAAAAACTTATGTGTTACCGTTTACTTGACTTCCTCAAGAAGAAAAATGTGGTTTATGCGAACCAATTTGGTTTTCGTAGAAATTATTCAACAGAATATGCCATTCTTAAAATAACTGATAAAATACAAAGAGCTATTGATGAACATGATTATTCGCTTGGAATCTTCTTGGACTTTAGTAAAGCTTTTGACACAGTAAACCATGAGATTTTAATAGAAAAGTTGAATTACTATGGAATTAGAGGATTATCCAGTAAATGGTTCACCTCGTATCTTTCTGATAGACAACAAATAGTTAAAATAAATAACATAAGTTCTGACCCCTCAACAATTTCCTGTGGTGTACCTCAAGGATCTGTTCTTGGTCCAATATTATTTTTGATCTATATAAACGATTTTCATCACTCTTCATTTTTATTTGACTTTCATTTATTTGCTGACGATGCCAACTTATTTTATAAAAACGCAAGTTTAGAAAATCTAGAATTTAACCTAAACCAAGAGTTAGATAAGGTTTACATTTGGCTTTGTGCTAACCGGTTGTCTTTAAACATAGAAAAGTCAAACTTTGTTATTTTCCATCCATCTCAGAGAAGGTTACACTCTACCATGTTTTATGTTTAAATTTCATCATCAGATGTTACCTCCTGCCTTTGAATTGTTTTTTACGCCAGTGGAAAATGTTCATAATTATAATACACGTTCACTGGCTACACAGTCTTACTATCTCCCAAAAATAAGAACAAATTATGGTAAATTCAACGTACGATTTCAAGGACCTATAGTTTGGAATGCGATTGATTTTCATGTTAAGTCTCTTTCATTTAAAAATTTCAAAAATATATAAAACAAGATTTTATAAGTAAATATTAATTTTGTAAAAATAACAAAAAAACTCCAGCATATGTTTATTTGTATTAACATTACAGCTAGTCGTTACAATGAGTTTTATTGTAAATAGTTATATAGTTTTTGTGATAATTTTTTAAATTACCTGTTGTAAACATAATCAATTCAGTTTGTAAACTGTAATTTATGTATATTTAATAAACTACTACTATTACTGGATTGGGATGGGGTGCAAGGTCCGTGAGCTGTATTTCGGTGACGCGAACGGTTACTTGAAGTTGAGAATGATTTGTTACAAAATGTGCAAGAATGAGACATGTTCACTGCTCTGTGACAAAACGCCGAATGAAATTATTTTTAAGATGGCCGACTATTTATACCCAAATGTGATTATTCTTAGGATTCAATGATTCAATCTTAGGTTTAAATGATTCAATCTTAAGATTCAATGATTCAATCTAAAATTCAATCTTAGGATTCAATGATTCAATCTTATGATTTGATGATTTAATTTTAGGATTCAATTATTCAATCTTAGGATTCAATGATTCAATCTAGGATTCAATAATTTTATGTAGGATTCAATGATTCAATCTTAGGATTTAATTATTCAATCTTAGGATTCAACGATTCAATCTAGGATTCAATTATTCTATGTAGCATTCAATGATTCAATCTAGGATTCAATGATTCAATCTTAGGATTCAACTATTCAATCTTAGGATTCAATGATTCAATCTAGGATTCAATGATTCAATCTTACGATTCCATTATTCAATTTTAGGACTCAATGATTCAATCTTAGGACTTGATGATTCAATCTAGGATTCAATGATTTAATCACAAAAACGTTTTTTAAAGTCTTGTTTCTCGAGTAAATAAACTATTTAGGCTCGAACTCTTGAATAGAGATGACGTACTTTGACGTGGGCTTTTGTAGAGCTCTCATGTACGTCTCATCTAAATCAACAGCAAGCTCTTCTCAATTCTACAATAGCTCAGCAAATTTGATGCTTCTGTCATTTTATAGAAAATTTCACATGCTCTAAAGAAGCGAAGGATTTGCTCAGACCTTTCAAACAAAATCTAGCTGATTTAGCAGACAAAAGTAGAAATTTTAGAACAAACAAGGAAATTCTTGTTCAGCGCGGAAGTGGCTTTCTAGGATTGGTATTTGGACCAATTTTATAGAAGGTCTTGCACAATTAGTATAAAATAATCAGCATTAAGGGCATCTCCTCATTCTAATCATGGATAGCGACAAACAATCAGCTCTTGAACAGTGGAGACTTGAAGACATTTTTAAATATCTTGACGTTGATGATGAACTCGAAGCCGAAGAAATCCTTCATTCTATTTTAACGTCTACGGGGATTTTGACTTGGAACGGAAAAGGAGAAATCGTTTACAGAGGACATAATATACGAGGAACTGACATCTTAGACTTCTGCAATATTGTGTGACGCCTTATCATCCAGATATTCCCGAGCCAACTGGATTGAGCATTTCTATAAAAAGGTCTTGCAAAATTGGAAATTGATAAAAGCCTAATCGTAAATGGACATGTCCTTTCTGTGTTAGCCCACAAGCGGTTCCGTCAGGATACACAATCTGATGCTGACGCAACTTGTAACAGTTCTAACAAAGATATCTACATCTCCCATTTGAGTACATGCCCTGTATGACATGGACAGATTTTATTGGAATTGTAAAAGGTGTCGCTGTATGATCTGTGATTTCGATTGTCCAAATGAGATTTCAAGCATGTATTCACCAGCTGTCCACATTGTCGCCGAGGCAAAATTATAGATGTCAGAACGAATGAAAGGCAGTCTTTTAACCATAAAATAGGCGAACAAAGTGATATTTGATCAGTTAACTGTGTGAAGTTGAACTGAACACATCAATATGTCGAGGGGTACACTTGTTGTAGACGAAAAACAATTGAGAGACCATTTCATGAGACACCAACGTAGTGGGAATATTACTGGGTATCGTGGTGCACGTTTTCAAAGAGGCTATGGGCTTGGTGGAATTTTTTAAGAGCCTTGCGAGATATGCCTCTATCCTCTCTAACAAGGTGCTAAAGTTGTTGGCAAAAGAGCATTACAAGCAGCCACAGAAGTTGGTCAAGAAGTACTCCAAGGAAAAAAATGTTAGAGAATCTGTAAAGACTCACGGAAGTGACGTTGTTAAAGCAACTAAAGCCCTACTACAACAAGCAGGGCGTGGAAGCGAGAGGAGGCAAGACCAACGCAGTAATCTTTCAACAAGAAAGAGGCTAAAACTGTGTTCTCATAAAAGCAGTCCCAAGACGTACCAAATGGATTACGGAAGATGAAAGCAGCCACGACGACGAATCTGATAGCGAAACTTCTGAAACAAGTGTCAACATATATTAGAAGCATAACTTTGTACAACGTTTTGAAGAAATAAATGTGTTTTAAATCTAAATTCTTGTGTAAATTTTTTCCTGCAAAGCACGCTCTTTCCCGCCCGCTCGATTTGCCTAACCCACCCGCATGCACGTATATGCATGCACCCAAGCATCGCAAATTAATGACTGGCAACGCATAGCAACGTATATAACGATAAAAAAATATTGTTTTATGGCAAAATATATTACAACTGTTCTAAAATTTTTTCTTCAAGAGTTCTTGATAAGCTTTCTTATGATCTGCCTCAAAACTTCTAAATCGTTTACCCGTCACCTTCACAGAATACAAGTAACTAGGTGGGCAAGAGAAAAACGTTTCAGCTACTGACTCGAGCGGGTCTTATAATCTCCAATGAAACAAATAGTTCAGCATACATTGTAGTTCGTGGTTCTCAGTGTTTTGATGTAGTTCCATCAATGAATCGACAAACATAGAATCTGGATCTTTTTCCAGTTGCTGTAAATGTTCTAGGACATCTCTGTTAACCCTCAGTTTAAGTACCCTCATTGCCTGAGGGAATTCACTCCAAACCACCCGCTTAGCATTCACTCGTTCGATCGCTTGTAAACCATACATTTGCCATCGTTGCCCTTGACTAAGATGACCGACTTGACAACCATTACAGGATTCCGCACAAAGTATTTCAACGCATATATTCCTTCCAATAAATTGTAAGACGCGGTTTTACCATGTAGACACTACATGACTGATGCAGAACTAAGCATTGTAAAATGTAGAACTACGCTTGTTACAAGACGCTTTTTGAATTTATACAGACGCTTGTATAAAAGTCGTTAAATCAAACAACCAATCATAGTAAGTCAATCTTAATCCCTCTTTTGTATCACACTCGTGGAGGGACGCTAAAGTGGCCATCTTGCCCGATCTTGCCCAAGCTTGCCCGCGTGATCGACGTCATGCATATTAATTACCCTCCGCAATTAATGTGGAGGTATATTAATGTGGAGGTATATTAATGTGGAGGTATATTATTGTGGGATATTAAATTATGTGGAGATATATTAATGTGGATATATCAATTAATGTGGAGGTATATTAATTAATGTGGAGGTATGTTAATGTGGAGGTATATTAATGTGGAGGTATATTAATGTGGAGGTATATTAATTAATGTGGATGCATGTTAATTAATTTGGAGGTATGTTAATTAATGTGGAGGTATGTTAATTACCCTCCACACTCCTCCACAAAAATAAGGCTCGATCGGCTTCTATATTACTGCTGGTTAATGACTGTGCCAATTGACTTTGGAAAAATTTAAGGACATGCCTTGGCAAACATATGGCCATCTTACATTTCTATAGTCTTGCCTCATTATCTTAATCTAAAAATACAATTTAATAAAAAGTAATAAAATTAGATGGTTACAGTTGTGTGCTGAATTTCAAGAAATGCAGCTTCAATAGCAAGAGGCATGCCTTGAATAGAGTAACAAAATTAAATACTTCATGTTCGGAAAATATAATAGTTTTGTTCTAGTAGATAGCAGTAACCTTTAACGAATTTATATAGTATTGATGTCCTGTGCGGCCACCTTTCGCTAATTTAAATATTTTATTTTGCAATACAGTGATCGAAAAAAAACATTAAAATTTACGATCGTTAATTGTAGATTTCAAAACCATGCGTGTTAAAGCAATACGAAGAAAACCACACAATGATTGGGGATATGATTTAACACCAATGAAAGAATTTGACTCGTCAAGAAAAACATTTTCCAAAATCAACGAAGAATTTCTTCAAGTTGAAACTGTGGCATCATCTGGCGAGAAGATTGTCGAATATCATGCAGAAGTCGTACCAAAAGTAGAAGCTTTACAACGCAAGAGAAGTGGCAAGGGGTTAAATGTGAATGTGTTGTTGGTGGGTTTTGACTCTACTTCATCAGCACAAATGCAGAGGGCGTTACCCAAAGTGTATAAATTTCTTAAAGATGATTTATGCTCATATGTGTTTGACGGATACTCCATTGTCGGGGATGGAACTACACCACAGTTGACCGCCATGTTGACAGGTTTGTTTACGTGTTGGGCGGTTGTTCGACAGATGCTATAGCTTAATACTATGATTGCTTGCTCGATAACGAAACACTTCCAAGCCATCTTCCCAACAGTTTGTTTACAAGCATGGGACTTATTATTCTCAGAATATTGTCTGGGTCAATGGAAGTTCTACTTTCTAAAGGTTCGAAACAGACGAACTTACAGAAGATGAAACTTCAAACCCCTAATTATCATTGTGCAACTTTCAACAACCCGGGCCCCAGTATAATTAGGGTAATTTAGAATAGGTTGGGAAACTGTCATATATGTTCAAGATATAGTAGTTTATCACAGATCAGTCAAACCTGGTATCCATCTTTCAACTTAGCACTCCCAGGCCAAACATTGCTTTCTAGCCAGTAGCCATGCCTCCCATGGGAAACCAAAGTGTTAATTTCCTTTCACTGTTTGAAGTAAATTACTTCTGGTAAATTGCACAATTACAAAAAAATGTCCTGGCTATAGCATGTTCAGAGGTGCAGATTAAAGATTGGCACTAGAAAACAGTGTTTGCGAAAAAAACAATCACTGTTACACAACTTGAACTTGTTGAGAAACATTAGTAGTATACAAAGTTGGGGTTCTGCACCGGGTGGAACACTAGAGCTCCACACATTCCGTCATCAGGATATTATTTCATATCATTCACACGCGCTCCTAATGTATTTTAACGAGCGCAAACCAATGATTACTAGCATTTTAGGGGAATTTTTGCGGTTTAATAGTTTGCTAATATTTATCCCTCGACTAGTATTCCTGAATTTTCTTCCGACGAACCGAATGAGAATTTTGACGCGATTCTCGCAGTATATTCTACTCAAGTTGTTCTAATGCCTGTGGGACGTAGATATTGTGCTTATACGCATGCACAATGAGAATTCTGTATTACCAACATACCTGACTTATAGGAGTTTGCAAAGATTCCGGGGGAATTCTGCAGGGGTTCTCTTGGGCTCCTTGGTTCTCGCACAAAATGTTTAAAAAAACCCAGTAGTTTCTTTCTAGAACCTGCTGATTAACGGCATAAATGATACTAGAAATAGAGTATAAAAGGTGTGTTTGAATTCATCGTATTGCGAGGTTTTATTAGATTATCTTAGAGTGTCCACTACTTTAACTCCATCATTGGTTTTCCCAGGAGATATACTCACCATATTTAGGACTATTAATCAGGGAATAATAAAAATCCAGACAAATATATGAAAAATTTTAAACAGAACTAAGCAGTTGCTAAGCCAAAGTTAATATGGTTGACAACGCCGTTGTTATGGTCGATATTTGCATATTACAGAGTCATTACAAAGTAATCAAACCGCCCACCCAATGTGGATACAATTTTTATTTCACGTAGTGAGCTTGAGACAGAAAAAATTCAAACGAACACAGAGTTATTACAGTAACTGTGTGAGATATATAGAAATTTTGTCTTGTTGACATCGAAAATGTGTGCTGTCAAAGTCACAGGTCAGAGTCATTGACAGTCGTTAATGAATTACAAGCTAAAGTTTAATTTCTTAAGTGTTTATTATGTACTATTTAAAGCACGCGTAGGAGTGTTTTATCAGATATAAAACGGGAGGCGCGCGCAGCCGAGAACTTGTAAACACTGTAATAAACGGCCTCTTGAAAAACAGGTGCCTACGAGCCCTGAAGAGCTACCGTTTTAAAATATTTTTAAATAATAATAATAACAATAAAGGAATTATTGGCATACCAATAAAGATTTTATTGCTTCCTGCATCTAGTTTTAGAGATAGGGACCTATTGTAATGGGACACGGGGGTATTAGCCCCGATAATTTGTAGTCACATGAATGTAATGCGCAGGAAGCGGATAGGAGTGGTGATATAATCTACAGCAATATGTGCATCAGTTCATTCTACTCTTCAATCTGGTCGCGCAAGGTCAACTCTCTGGCTGAAGTCAATTGATACAAATAATCGATAAGGTATTCCTATTATTTTTTCCTTCTCCGATATTTTTATCATGTCAAGTTGTGTCCCAAGTATTTTAATTCTCGGTCATTCTTTTGTCCGTCGTTTGCGAGATGATTTAGATGCGCACTTTGATACACGTGCGGCTTCTAATTTTCATCTCCCAGAATCGGGCTATATTAATTTGTTAGGGACGGGTGGCCGAACCGTCGAAAAGGTCGTTAAATACGATTTGCAATCGGTGCATAAGTATAAGCCCGATATTGTAATCTTGGAGCTTGGGACTAACGATTTGTCGACCCACGCCCCCGAGGTGGTGGGGTCTAAAATCGACGACCTTGTGCATGCTTTAAGGCACACATACAACGTTCGGGTTGTTGGGGTGTGCCAGGTTATAAACCGCAATATTCCTTTTGCTCAAGGACCCGACCTTGGTTTTAATGCCAAGGCCGCTATTTTGCGGCAATATTTGTCCGTGGTCCTTGCTTAGGAAGATGGGATTTTTACTTGGGATCATCGGGAATTTTTTCGAACCGATCGTGCATTGCTATCCTCCGATGGCGTGCATTGTAATGCCCAAGGACAGTACTGTTTGTATCGGAGTTATCGTGGGGCTATCTTGAAAGCTCTCAAACTTTTGTAACCCGTGAACCCCGTTTTGTACTGTTGTTTCTGATCAATTTTGCTTTTTGTATTGACAACGCCCTAAATTGTGGAGGGCATCTTTTGTCACACTTTTTGATTATGCAGTATATATCCTCTCAGTACTTGGTGTTGATATATATTATGCTTATATTTGTTATATTATTATCGGCTAGAGCAACATGACTGTTTTCAGATGCCCACGTTGAGATTTCAACATTGGATTTTTCCTGCACAGGGCATATTCATGATTATCGAGCTGGTTATATATACGTATATAGAATGTGTTTCCCTATCGTAGTCTGTTAAGTCTTTTGTTCAGCTAACGTACATGTATGTATATGTCCTCGTACTTGCTTTGTGCCGTGCTGATATTTAATGTTAGGTATATATGACGGGCTGATCCTGTGTTTGGAAAAATGCATGTCTAAGTGGGATAGTGCAATTTATTGTTTTCAGATGCCCACAGTTGAAATCAATATATTGTGGGACGGTGCAGCATGTTGTTTTCAGATTGCCCGTTTTTATATTTTGCAGCGCTTTAAACGGATGATCTATTGCGGCTACCTTCGCTGTATGCCATGATTATTCCGCTGCGTTGTTTATTTGTCAATGTTTAATGTGGTAGATATTGCAGCAATTCTTAAGGATGATCTTTTGCGGCTACCTTCGCTGTATGCCATGATTATTCCGCTGCGTTGTTTGTTTGTCAATGTTTAATGTGGTAGATATTGCAGCAATTCTTAAGGATGATCTTTTGCGGCTACCTTCGCTGTATGCCATGATTATTCCGCCGCGTTGTTTGTTCACGTTTTGCGTATACATTTATAGCTATACAAATATACAACGATATCACGAATCGCTTCACCAGACGCAACCAGCAAACTCTGGCCAAACCCAATTCTGCCTGTCTGCGTTCTGACATTTTCCTTTTAGAATGCCCGCAACTCGCCCAAGTACACGTGTCCAGCGCCGAGCTCAAGCAGCAGCAGCACCTAGTGCCTCTTCGCGGCGGCGTCGGACAACAGCAGCATCTACAACTGCAACCAGTGCAGCCAGGGTCGAAACATCGCCTGCCATGGCTGCTACACCATCCGCGTCGCCGAACATCACACCGCCTGATCTCTCCGAGGAAGCGATGCAGAGAATTGTCTCGGCTGTGTCACAGGCCGTCATCGCGTCGTTTGGGGCAAGTCAACCAACTCTCCCGGCACCTCCGTCCATGGAACCAGAACAGAGAGAAGTACCTCTAGTTGTAGGGTCCGATAATATTCGTAATTTAGCAGATGCTACCACTATGCATGGGCCGGTAGCATCTGCTTTGCATCACATAACAGGTGAGACCGAATTTATTAACGTCTCACCGTCAGCGGGGTCGGGATCCGCCAAATTTTGCTCAATTAGCGTGCCCATCGATGCTAATGTTAGCGCTAAAGTTAAAGCAAAAATATGGGCGCACGAATTTATAGATTTTGGTGTTTTACTGAGCTCAGGGGCAGGTGATACCCGGTATCACTTGTCTGTGAGCTCTCAAGGCGGTTCCTCGCTCCCTGCTTTATCTTTAGAACCGTCACACAAGCCGAAGGCCATTCCCAATATCGAGGCATGGACTTCGGCTTTTCAAATTTTCGTTGGAGTCTACACTGCAAAATTTCCCTTGGAGGCCCCAATACTAATGAAATACGGGGAGGTAGTGCGGGATTTGG